ATACCTCGCTCTCGGGAGTGAAAGGTGCCTAGAAGGATCGGCTTTAACTTTGGTTTGGCCTGGCCCTCGGGCATGTCAAACCGGACAGACAGCCATCAAGCAAACCGAAATGAGGGGAAGAAAAAAAAAGGAAAAAAGCACCTGACAGGCCGGCACAGCCACAGCCGTCAACAATATCCATCTGAAAGAGGTCATAAAGCAAACAGTTTAAGGTGAAAGGTGCTTCGCGGACATGCAACATGCAACAAAGCTGCCAGCTTACCAAAAAAAAAAAAATAATAATAATAAATAAATAAAGAAAGAAAGGTTAAGCTCAGGGACCGAAGGTGTAAATACCCTTTGGGGGAAAATTATTTAATATTATTTTAGGAATTTTCTAGGAACTATGAAGTGAGGTTTGAAATGGTTTGTACAATTTTTAAGAGTGTTGGCTTTATTATAAGAATATATTAATTATTTTAACTTAATTCCCTTAAGAATCTTTCACATATTTTAAAAAGCTGTAGGCTTTTTTGGAAAGATGGAAAATTTAACATTTTTAACGGACATGCCTGGAAAAATGAGCTTGTTGTATGATTTATCTAATTTATAAGGTCGCAAATAACACCTTCCCTGCGTTGCCAACTTCTGACTAAAATTATAATACCCTGCAAGTGTATAAAATTATGGCTTGGCTATAATTAATTTGCTGCGGTGGCTGTTGCTGCAACGCAGTTATTGCTGCTGGCAGACAAAATCAAAAAAGTCACTTATGACTGACACTTTGCATATTCCGCCACGACCATCACCTATGGAGCTGATGGTGGAGTGAAGCTGGCGGAGATGAAGATGACTACCCAGACATGCAGTGACTTATGATTTTTCAGTGGAATCTTCCCAGCGACGCCTTCTCCCCACCGCCGCCGCTGATTTACGGAAAAAGTTACGAGCATTTGATTTACGATCGAGGGAGAGGCCCCCAGAGGTTTTTTTTCTTCTTTTTTTGGGGCGTAATGCCGCTGATGGATTTGTCAAGTTTGTGGGTCAAGAGTTGCTACTTTTGCTGGATTTCCGCCCCGCGATGATTACTCAAAATCGCAGCTCCAGTGAAATTTGAAGCTGTGGACTTTAGAGTTCCCGCGAACACAGGCGGCAACTAATTGCGACAACGGCAGCAGTCGCAGCAGCTGACAAAAAGATTTAACATCTTTTCATTCTTGCCAAAGTGAGAAAAAACCAGTTTGTAGAGCTCAAAAAGCCAGACGAAGCTGCTGATTGACTGTCAGATGACCTGATGACCCCCTGGAGAAGATAACTCTTCATGTGTGACAAGGTGTCGATTTAATAAAAGAGGTGCAGGAGCTACAAGTCTTGAAGAATGTTAAAGAGGTTGCGGAGAAAATTTGGGAAGCTTGGGGGGTTTAAAAGGAGAGGGAAAAGCAGGGAAAATAATTTTTTAAAAAGATATTAATAAATAATAAAATAATAATAAAGAAAGAGATCTTTAAAAGCTTCTAGCTTTAATAACTAAAAATAAACTTATATTTACATCACTTGCATAAACTCTTCTTGTCCACAATTAAATTTAAAATAATTTCATAATCTATATAATATTTAAAATATATATTGCATACATATTTTGTTAAACTTTTTATACCCTTGCAGGGTATTATAATTTCAGTCAGAAGTTTGCAACGCAGTGAAGGAGACGTTTCCGACCCTATAAAGTATATATATTCTTGATCAGCATCAACAGCCGAGTCGATATAGCCATGTCCGTCTGTCCGTCTGTCCATCTGTCCGTCTGTCCGTCTGTCTGTTTCTACGCAAACTAGTCCCTCAGTTTTAAAGCTATCTGAATGAAACTTTGCATATAGTCTTCTATATACTCTCACTGCTATATATGTCGGAACGGGCCGGATCGGACGACTATATCATATAGCTGCCATACAAATGTTCGATAAATTTTTCGAAAAAAAATTATAACTTTGCTGTTTTTTAACATTTTTGCACCATTTTTTAGATATGGCCATTCTATATTATTTCTGAATTTTGGTAAAAATTTTATGAAAATCGGACGACTATATCTTATAGCTGCCATAGAAACGATCGGGAAATTAATAGGAAACAAATTATAACTTCGTTGTTTTTCAACGTATTTTCATCTACTCTGAGATATAAGCTTATTTTATTATTGTAGAATTTTGGTATAAATTTCATGAAAATCGGACAACTATATCATATAGCGGCCATAGGAGCGATCGGTAGATGTAGAGAAAATGTAAAGGTGTGAATGTAAAACTGTAACTGTCAAACTGTAAACATTATAAGTATAGTTGAAATGTAATGAAATAATATCTGCAAGGGTATACAAACTTCGGCGTGCCGAAGTTAGCTTCCTTTCTTGTTTATAACAAAAAACCTTCAATGTTGGCTCGAATGTCAGCAGGCAATTAAAATATTTCAACATTGTTTTCCATTTGTTTATTTGTGTCGCCCTATGACCGACAAGGCAAGAATGTTGCCAACATGTTGGCCAAAGCCAACACTCCACCTGACTTGTAATAGAGTTTTGTACCAAGACTTGCTTTTTATTTGTTTTATTTTCTATTTCTATTTCTTTTTTTTTTTTGCATTTGGCATGCGACCTGAAGCTCTCTAGAGAGCCAGTAAATCATTCGCCAGCGACAACGGACAACAACTTGTCAACGGTTCCATGGAGTGTGTATGGAGAGGGGGTATGGATTTGGATATGGATGTGGAAGTAGCTGGGTATGGGGATGGGGATGGGGACTTGGAGTGGGGTCTCTCGAGTGGATCGAGTGGCGGCGATCGGGAGATCGAGAGGCGGCTGGCCGGCTGCTGTTGCAGCTTTGCATGCATGCGGCTTTTTTGGACCAGTCATGGCTCAGGTTGCATATAAATGGAGCTTAATGAGCTCGTGCCAAATAGAATTGTCAGCGGGGCTAACTTGGATGCAGAGAGAGGAAAATACCCTACATGAAAGGCAAATAATTAATCTATATATCAATGCAACCTATCGAAATACGATTTATTTTACTCTGAAGTATTTTTTGGATTTCTTAGAAAAATTTGAAACCTGTGAAAGCTATATTAAATAACTTATTATATATATTTAAAATATTTATAATATAAAGATCTCAGTTTTTTTCTAAGTAAAATTAATGAACATCCTTAGTTGTTACTAAAAAAATCACTTGAAAATGTGCTTAAAAATATGCTTAAGATTATAATCTAAATTATCCTTGCTCAAATTCCTTTCTTGTTCATACAAATTTATATTTCTAAGTCTATTTTTTTTTTTATTTTAAATAAATTTCAATAATCTTACTACATTTCTTTTCCAGTGCACGTTCGTGTTGCACTCAAATTGTTGGTAGAATTCCGCAATTTAGCGGTTTTATGGTCGCGCTTTTGATTTGATCACGAACCCATAAAGCAAAGACATATCACAGCTGAAAGCCAAATATGGTAAAACGCAGGTTTTCTTCGCCTTTAAAAGGGGCGCGGCAGGTGCGGATATTATTATTATTATTTTTCGATATTTTCCTTATTTTTTGGCTTTCCCACGCGCCCAGAGGCCACGATGGGGTTTATTGGGATTCCCTCCTCTATTGTTTTCGGATGCAATCTGCCATCTTGGTCGTCCATGCACTAACAAGCTGCCGTTGCAGTTGCACCTTTATTATTTTTAATTGGACTGATTTCCCGCTACAGATACATGAGTATCTGCGTTGACATATGCGGCAGGCAGTGAGTCCGCCCGAGTCCATCCAAGCCAAGCCAATCATCCTAGGCCATCATCATCCATCGACCAGCGAGCGAGACGCGCGACTGTACGGCAGCTGGACGAGGCGGTAGAAGGAGCCCGGCATCGATCTGTGGCAGGGAAGGACCAAGCCAGACCAGACCAGGCCACAGATGCTAAGCGAGAGAAAGGCCTTCATCTTGACCAGCTGTGTGGCTCCTTGCCAAGGGTTGTCGCCCTGCAGGGTTGCTGCTGCTCATTGGAAGTTTTCCCACGATTGCGTCAGCGCCTCAGCTGCACTTTTGCGCGCTGTTTTAAGCGGTAAAACACTGGGAGAAAAATTATATATTATCATTATTACATAATATATTAAATATATAAGCTAAATTGTATTTAAAATTAAATTTAAATAAGATTGATAGCTGAAAGTGGGCTCGTTAAGAGCCAGACTTGCAGGATTTTAAAAACTTTTTTTAATAATTACTCAAAATATTCAAATTTTAATAATAATATTATTTATTTATTTGTTTCTATTAGTTCTATAAATTTTTTTCAGTGCCTGCTATTTTATTTGGCATTTTTTCCGCGATTCCTATTTTTTATTTCTGCGCCTCCCGTTGAGTCCTGGCGGCTGTGCGTCCTTTGGGGTGGCGGAGTACGCCAAGTCAGTCGAGAGTTAGCAACCTCAATTAGGGGTTGTCATCCCAATCAAGGCCCAGACCATGGCAAGATCCTTGGATCTCGATTAGGAGTCGCTGACGTACTGCGACATTGTAATGACGTCACACAATTGTGATTCACCGCACCGCGATTCCCATAGCAGATATTTGCATTCATTCATTCAATTCCCTCATTCAATCCAGGTGTTTAGAGGCAGGACTCGACGCCTTCCAGTCACTCAGCGCCGCCGCCCTTTGTCCTCCGCTTGACTCGCCACAAAAGGATCCCGATCCCTCTCTTTATCGACGTGGCAACGCCTCTATGAACCCTTGAACTGGGTCTGCGAGTGGTCTGTGTGTGTGTTTCTTTTAAAGCTAGATTATGTGGGCATATTATTATTATTGATTGCTGGCGGGGAGGATCAGCGGGAATATTAAAGGATTTTTATAATATTAAGCTTCTTGGGAAGCCAGGAATTACTTGAAATACATCATAAATTTATTAAAGAAAATATAGGTTTTCAATTTAATAAATATTTTAGTTGTTATAAGAAAGCTTTTGATGAATTTACAATCTATATGTCATACTTATAGTTCCCCCTGAATCGTAACTCTCCGTAATCCCAATATAAATCCCCAATTTTGTTTTATTTTTTCCTCCAGTAAAAAATCCCAAAAGACCCCCAAAGCCATGCCCTACACCTGGCGGCAGCCGGAATTCCCCGGCGATGGCAGTGATCACAAGTGGCTGGATCCCACCCTATTGGTCATCTGCAAGAATGCCGATTTGGAGGCGGCCATTGAGCCCCTCCTGCGCAGCCTCAAGCAGCCCTTTGCCCCCCGCCAAGTGGCCAGCGTCTTTGTGCACGAAACCATGCGGGATGCCTTCTGTGAGCTGGTGCGATCCTCCATGGAACCGATGCACCACCAGGCGGCCACCCATACGCAATACCTCAAAACGGTGGCCATGGTGAAGTGTCTCCAAGCGGAGACGGTGTGTCTACTGACACCAGATGACATCAATTTCCGCTCCAAGATGACAACTGGTTCGCCGATAATGGTTTGCGAATTTTATCAGAATTTCTTTGGCAGTGGCAAACCCAGTGCGGTGGTCACCATGCACACCTTTCGCAAATCCTTCGAGTTTCCTGAGCTTCTGGTCGGCGAGCGGGTGCCCTTCGCCTGCGCCTCTGTTTGGGGCCGGAAGATGGCCGCCGCTTATGAAGCGGCCCTGCACCTGGACATGTCCGTGGTCTACATCAACTGCCATGACGTGTCACTGTTGCCCATTGTGGAGTACTTCCAGGCCAAGCAGCCGCACGTGGTAATGGCGCAATATCATCATTTCGAGGTGATTTTCCATGAGGATAGTTTCCGGTTGATAGTCTATCCTGCCAAGGTGTTTTGGGAGCCAACAGATAAGAAGGTAGCAACAGATGCCGAGGAGGAACCGCCAGCGGAGGGCAAGAGCAAGAAGTCTAGTCATATTAAATAATAATCCTGAACTTGTAGGTTTTATATTTAGTCTAATGTGATCCAAAGTAAAGATAAATTTAAAGTATATTTCTTTAACTATTCTTTAACTTTTTTTCCTCTTGAAATTAAATTAAAATTTAAATGGAAAATTTATTTACTTTTAAGGATTTAAAAAGCCTCTTTCCCGGCCATCAATCAGCTTTAAATATATTGTAAAATATACATTATAAATTCAAATGCAATCGGAGCTGTTGATCGGCTTAAGTAAATGCTCTTTCGAGCAAAGCCATCCGTCAAAGCCGAAGATCAGCCAAAACTGTCATCGATCTTTCTCCGATTTTCTCCGCAAAACTGTCAAATGTCAAACGGCAGCGCTCGAGTGTGCCCAGCTCTGCCGTCGAGTTGTTAATCAGCCGAATCAAAAGTGTGCCAGCAGCCATTTAGACATTGTAGTCGGCTCAAGGATTTTGACAGCTAAGCTGACGTGCGGAAAAAAGAAAAAATAAAACTAAACTAAGCACATAAAAAATAGAATTAAGATCCAGGGAACAACGGGCAACGAGTGTGTGTCGTGTGTCTGAGAGTGCACGAAAATGACTGGCAACCAGGTGAATATGCCAAGCTCAAGCCCAGTGTGCTCGAAATGCAATGAAACAATCAATCAAAGCGCTGAAAGAGGCTTGTCGAGCAGATCGGCGGAGGCAGCCGCGAGTACTATATATAAACTTGAGTTGTAGCCGTGGCTATATAGTAATAGTAATGGGCCTGGCCCGCCGTCTAACGGTTGAACTGCGCACACAAAAGGCACAAAATCAAATTACCAGCAATGATTAATCAATCAGCACCGTACCCGCTTCGACTGAGATACAGATACTTGAACTGCGAAACGAATATCAAGCTCATACAACCCATTGCCATGTATGAGTATATATGCAGGCATTACACTATGCCAAAAAGTTGTAAACTAATTAAATAAAGAAGATTTAAAAGCCTTTGTTAGTGGTATTTTTAAGTGTTTTCTGAGCTAATTGAAAACTAGAAGGTGTGCTGGGAGTGGGAATAAGTATCTGTGGAAATTCTTGGGGCAAGAAAAGCATATTTTTATTACCGGAAACACTAGGAAAAATAAAGCAAACTTGGAGAATGTAAAATAAAGCCCCCAAAAGCTATACAAAATTTAAGATAAAATATTCAAATATCTTCCTGTTACCTGCAAAAAATATAAAATAAATTTGCTTATTTATATTTAACCTTATTTAAGATTGTATAATATTTTCATAACGTAATTGTCCCCCCAATATTTTCTCCGTGTTGACCATAAACACACCACATGAACACGATCTCACCGCTGGCCTCGTCTAGACCCGCTGATAGTGGGTGTGTGTGTGTGTGTATGTGCGGGTGTGTGTGCCAGAGTGCTGGCCAAGTGGGTGCGTTCTCACAGCTGGATGCCCGGCGTCCAAGTCCAAGTTGGACTGCCAGCAATCACGATCCAGCTAAAGCCAGAGATACAGCAGCAGCAGCAGTCGGCACACACCTGCAGACTCTCACTCCGCGCAAAAGCACACACAGAAAACCCCCACCGATACCCACACCCCATACCCCATTGCCCGTGTCCATGCCGCATCCACGTGTGCGTTCCACTGGCGATTCCCAATCCGAATTCAACTCCAAATCAATGCTACGGCAGCGGCGGCTTCTTCCCAAAAAAGGTTGCAGCGCAGCAGAGACGGCAACGGCGATCGTGCCAAAAATGGGTTTGCAACTGGAATTCGCTTTTAGCCAGCAACATATCCAAGCACTCGAACGTGTGGAGACCAGATCCAGCATCTCAGATCCAGCTCCTAGCACCAATTGCTGCACTGGGAAAAGTAATAATGAAAACTATGTAATATGAGCATTATTTAGGGAATTGAAATAACATTTTAATGATTAATTTATAAACGTTCCTTGACTGGTTCTTTAAATTTACAAAATCGTGTGAAATCTTGATCTCTTTAATATTTTAAAATTATCAAGTTAACTTTATAAAGTCGACACAAAACGCATGACTTCGACGATTATGTTTAAAACCGTTACGACGATAAAGATCCCCAACTTGACTAAGGCCTCCAGCAGTTCGTGGGCATTGAAGCGAAATCCTCTTCTGTGGTAAAATAGCACCAGAAAACCGATTAGCAGAGGCCACATCGAGAATATCATGTTGAACACATAATAAAGAAACAGAACGAAGAACAGGACATTGCCAATCTCCTTTCGGAAATCCGCCGTTAAAGCCTGAGACGGTCTGCCCTGCGGTTCCACAGTAGGTTCCACATTTTCAGGAAGTACTTCCATTTTTTTTAAATATTTCTAAAGTATTTTAGATATAGTTTAAATTATAGAGAAATTTTTGATATATTTTACCGCTTCGGACTGGAAATATATTATGAAGTAGATAGAAATTTGACTGAAATATGCTAAGCTGCCTTGATTTTGGAACAAGATCTTAATAATAATTAAGTTACAGCCTCAAGAATTTTATTTATATTAATATTACTTAAATAAATAAATGTAAAAGAGTTTGCTAATTTTATAAAAAATGTATTACTGCTTGTTCTTAACCAAGTTCCTAGCCCACTTTGACTTTTCTTTCAGTGCATGTCTATATATTTCCCTCCAGCGGATCTTGGCTAACTCCCAAGTGCAGGTGGCGATTGGCCGAGACCAAAAGACCAAGATCGGTGGATCCAAAGAGCAGCTGGTGGTGGTGGTGGTGTGAACAGCTAGAAAGTTTTAGTGCCCCCACAGATTCCTCCCCTCCTGCTCCTTGGGCTCCTTCTTCTCCTCTCAGATCGTGAGAATCAGTGCGGCGGCTGGAGCTGAAAATTTATTTGTGTGCTGGCCAAAACAAATGCCGCGTGATTTCAATTTATGGCCATCTAATGAAAATTTGACAAATAGCAAATGGGCAAGCTTACTTGCGCGGCCAGCACCGGGGCTCTGCGCCAATAACATACATCATGATCATGATCACTAACTGCCGCACCGGCACTTCCGTCAATTGATTGAAATGCCTTACGTGGCTCTGGTATACATAGATGCCTTGCATCCCAGGCAGCTCCCAGCTCCAGATACAGATACTGACTGCAGGTCCAAGGAGCCGTCTGTCAAAGTCCGCTTCAAGTTGTGCCTGCTCCGATTTATGTCTGCTGGCTTCAGTCAAAGTCGTGACCCGCGAACATTGAACTCCCAGTGAACCGATCTTGTCTCTGCAGCAGCCGGAGCAGTGGGGTATCCTTACTGTGGAGTCTAAATTATGGAACTCTCCTAAGGGTTTCACTCAAAAAAAAAAAATGTATAGAAACTTAGTTTTAAACTAAAAAGAAGAGGAAACTTTTAAAATATATACATGTACATTCTAAATTTAATAAAAATGTTATTTCAACAATCATTTTTAATCCTTGAAGTCCCAGATTAATCAGCTTAAAGAAGTATTTTTAAAACCTTTTTAATTATAATTATTTCAAAGCTTCCGTTTAATTTTTAGTTTAAAACTTGCCACCAAATACATTTTGGTTTCCCACAAACCATAAAAACTATAATTAATAGTTTTCCTCTGTGTTTTTCTCGCTGCTGAAGTGAAATATAATCCGTGATAGAATAAACCCACTGGGTCGATAGTGGAGCGATCTCACCTTGGCTTCCAGAGTGCAACTTACAAACTCTGGCTGCGGGGGTTTTAAGATTTAAGTCTTGGGTCTTTTTTTTTTTTGGGTCGCCCAAAGGCAAAGCCACACATTTGAGGCGAAATGAATTTGAAAACCGCCAGCACGAAGTGCAATTTTCAAGAGGCCAGGCAGCCCGAAAGTGTTATTACTGTGGGAGCTGGTCGGCATAATGAAGCCATTGCCATGGGCAGACCGGGCCAGGCCGCCGAAGGAGGCAACAAAGAGCAATGCGAGCCCATTGTCAATCATATCCGAGTTGATTTTCCCACATTTTATGCGCCGCTGATCGCGTTTTGGTCCAACTGCGACGACTCCTCATGGGAAAATCACTGAATTGTTGGCTTCGCCTTGTTGCGCAACAATTATTTGGCTTTGGTTTCGGGCCCTATGTTAAAGGGAAGTCAGGGTCTAGTCCAAAGACAACCCCCACGCATAACAACACCTCCTCAGCAACGTTGCGCTTCGCTGCAGTCCCTAAAAAAGAGAAAAGTCACCTGGAAAAAGCGCATTTCTGGGGTTGCAACTGCTACTTCACGGTTATTATCTAGGCCAGAACGGAAGTGCGCTTCTTGAGATCTTCTCAGCTGACCAACTCTTTCACACATTTCCTTGGATGTCGTCCAGGTGTTTCTGGGAAACTTACTATATATATGCCAAAAAACATTCTAGTGCATTGTGCGTATGTTAATTTTGTTTATATTTTAGGCGGAAATTAAATTCAGAAGCGCTGACATTTGGATATGCTTGATTGCTTTTATGGAATAACGAGAAAGGAAGTTTGTGTACCCTTGCAGTTGGTAATTGGATCATTGGGAATCGATTCATCGATTTCTGCTGATTTTCCTTCATTTACCTGGTTTTCTTACATAAATTGATTGATCGCTCCTATTGCAGATATGATATAATAATTCGGATAAAGAATAAGCTTTTAACTTTATGGGTATTCACAATAAAACTTTAAATTCTCCTATAATTTTAGGATTAAATGTAAAAAATTCCGCACAATTTAAAATTTTTTAAGTTGGAATTAAATTTAAATATTTTAAAATTTTTAAATATTTTAGATACTTTAATACTTACATTTTACATCACTTTAAACGCCATCTGGTGCTACCTATTGGGTACTATTAGTACTTTAGGGATTCTGCCAGCAGAGGGCAGCAGAGTGGGTCATAAATTAGGAAACAATTTCGTTATTTTTAATCCCTAAATTCCTAATAATCTTTTAATTCCCAATTATTAAATTTAAAATCGAAATGATCTCTGTTTACACATAAAATTTAATAGTAATATTTTAGTAGAATGGTTAGTTTTACCGAGAACCATTGTAAAGTCTTTTGAACATCTGCATTATCATACCAAAAAAAATACCACAATGGCGACTTTGCAGCCCTGTTTCAAAATTTAACGCTAACAATTTCCTGCAATTTTAGTGTATTTACGGATTAACAAAAAACTAAAACTAAAATAAAATTTGAATTTTTTTTAGCAGAAATAACACATATTTTCAATTCTTGAGAATACTGAAATCTATAGGAAAAATAAGATTAAGAACGGGTGGCTCTTTTGAGTATACCGACTAACAATGATGCCCTGATATGTAACTATAATTTGATGGAGTTTTTATCAGGGTTGTAGACAACCATTGATCTCCAAGGCTAGATTAGAGCTTACTAACTATAGAACAAAATCTATTTGGGTAAATTATTCAAATTCAAACCAGATCCTTAAAGAGAAGTGATCAGATTATTTAAACTATGCTGTTTGTTTTTAAAAATAAATTATATTAACCATCTATTATTGATGGTTTTGATATCTTTTAGAAAATCTACAAAAAAAACGAAACTTTTGAAAAAAAAGTGTTCAGTAGCCAAAGTGTCATCGCCAGTTTGTGCTACCTTATCGATAGTAAATGTATCGATAAGTTGCTATAACAGCTGCTGGGATCATGATACCTTCCCCCAAAACGACCTCATAGAAGCAAAAGGAAAACAGCATAGTCTAGCCTGCTGTAAAATCATTAATTATTCACAATTCCCGAGGGTTGGTTGCCGAGCAAGTGGATTCAAACGATGGACATCAAGCGTAAGTAGGACTGCAGCAAAAAGATAAACATAAACCAATAGTTATGCTTGCAACCAAATACAGTTAAAGATAAGAAGTGGACTGCTACATACACCGAAATGTTGCTGGAACTTTACATGGAACGACAGGAGCAGTTTAAAGATCCGCGACGCAAGGTCAAAGATGTCTGGGGCGAGATGGTGGACTTGCTGACCAATGAGGGAATGACCGACATTGATGCCGTGCAGCTGGACCGGAAATTCAGGAACCTCAAGAAGACGTACTTCTCCATCCGCAACAAAATCATCAGATTATCAGATTATCAGCCAAACTGGCAGTTCTACGACCAGATGGCTGAGATCCTTAAGGACGAGGCTCCGCCTGGCACCCAGGTGGTCCTGAGCTACGATGATTACGACCACTCAAACCCAATGGCCTCGTTCCTCGTCGACGACAACGACGAAGCGGAGTCGGAGATCTCAATCCTGGGCGGCAATCAAGAGGCAGTCTTTTCACCTGCCCAGGTGCTTCCCAACCGCAAGCGGAATTCCAAGGACGGCGGCGAGCAGCGACCAAAGATAAAAAGGTACAACATTATGCGTTCGGAACCGCAACCGGATCAGATCGAGGTGTACAATGCCGCCGAGCCTGAGGTTAGCATCGTAGAGACCAAGGAGGAGCAGGAGTTATCCATTGGCAGCACCGAGCAGGCGTTGAAGCATTTGAGGGCCCTCCAGGAGTTCGCCATGATCCAGGACAATTTTCGGGCCATTGGGCTGCTCATGCAGGCGGAACATGCCATTCAGTATCCGCCCAAGGCCAAGGACTTTGAGGTGGAGTCGTGAAAGTAATGAAATGACCTTTTAACTAGAGCCTAGTTAGCATAATAAATTATTTATATATATTTAGCTTTACAAAACAAAAAAATGAATTTTAGCACTACATTAGAGCTTTACTTTCTTTGGCTTAAGCTTAATTAAGAATATAATTTATAATTATAAACTGGAATTTGTTGTACTTGAAGTATTAGTTGCAAGAGGGAAGGGGTTCTAAAGGTGATACGTTTTATTTGGCCAGCCCCCTTCATTTTTAATTGGCAGCACCATTGAAGAAGTCTGGCTATCTATTGGCAATACCATTTTAGCATTCTGGCCACATTGCATCCATGAACTGTGAATTGGCAGCACCATTTTAGGAGTCTGGCAACTTTATTGGCAACACTTGTCTAAAAGTCCGGCAATATCTTACCCGAAGTACGGCCACTCTCCATACATAAACAAAAGATTTCTTCTAAAATTACTTTGAAATCTCTTAATAAAATGGACACCCCTAAAAAAGGAAGCATATTTACCCTGGGCCCCGCTCCGCCTGGACACCGACCACCGAATACGTCCCTATTTAAGCGCCTGGAATACAACCTGATGGCAATGTCTCGTCACATCAGAGGTACAACCGCAAAGATTGACCTCTTACGGAGTGCTCACCGCATAGAGATATCCACCGCAATGCGCAAGTCCATCAAGGAGCAAATAATGCTTTCGATCAGGGATCAGATCCTGGCACGTAAAGTCATGGCCAAGAACAGCCTCGAGTTGAAGGCTCTGCAGGACGCCGAAATCCTGAAGGTGGTCAGACACTTGCATGAAATAGACAAAAACCGCCAGGAATGGAGCCATAATCTGGCTCGTCTCAAAGTCGACCTGAAGCAGGAATCCGATCCTGATAAGGTCCGTTGCCTTCAGAAAGAAATCTATGCCTTGATAAAGGACCTCAAAAAGTCGAAAGATCTCCGCGAGCGGTGGAGGCTTCGCATGGTCCAGATGGAGGCCGCCAAAATCAAGGTGCTACAGCCGCCCACCAATAACCAGTCGGTTGACGAAAGCGATATGGTAAGGAGAAGAGGCATTATAGATTCTACTATAAGATAAAAAAAGTTAAATTAAGATTGAATTTGTTATCTATTATATAAAAAAGTCGGACGAACCGATTTTGCATTCGTTTGAAAGGTCTCGGGCTCCATGAGGTATATGTATAGCAAAGAAAATTCAAGAAAAATTTCAACAGAAAAGCGGAAAAATCATATTTCGCATACATCGTTATCTCTGAAACATAGTATGCATAGTATTTCTGCTCAGTTAATTTCATGTGACAAACCGAAATTGTCTTCACTGGTTAAATTGTAAAACAATTTTTTGTACAAATTTTTATTCAATTTCAATAGCAGCCATTTGTCTTTAAGGTGGTAAGTTGATCTGTGTAAATTGGATTGGATTTAAGGTTAAATTCACCACTCTGTCTATAGTCCAAAATGCCTAGAAAACGTCGTCCGAATATCGGCCTCCGCACAAGACATGCAGTCCAGCAAAAAAAGTATTCTCAGAACTTAAGCGAAGAAAGAAAAAATATGAGAAAAGAATATGACCGATTGAGACGAAGCGTGAGCACACAAAGATCATTAGCATCATATAATTTATAAAAATATATATATATATTTTTTATATTTAGAAACCGTATTCCCCTTCTAAGATTTCTACACTTAAGCCTAAGACAAAAACGAAACCTGTTAAAGTCGTGACGGAAAAAATCAAAAAGAACGTAAGAAAAATCTATGTTCATTTTAAATTATGTTAAAAAGTATTGGTTTTTTAATATATATATTTACCTTTTTTTTTTTTAATTTTTGTAATTCTTACATAAGTTGAGACCTGCTAAAAAGTATTGGAAAACTTTCTTGTAAATTCGTTAGGGCCTCAAAAGATGTTATCAACTTAACAATTATCAAAGTAAGCTTTGTAAGAGTTGTTTATGTGAGTTTTGTGAGAGGTTTTTCTTTGAATAATGCCTGCAGTTAAAAAATCAAATCTTGGACGGCGTACTCGTGCTGCACAACGCCAAATGAATATACGAAAAGCATTGAAACGGACCCGATATGCAAAGGTTCTTCCTGCAGAAACGCTACCTCATAATAGACAACATTTTACTAGAAGAAGGTTTAAATGTATACTTACAGTTTTAGAGTTACAGTTTTACATCTAATAATTATAATTATAATTGTTAAACTGCTTTCTAAATTCTATTTTCAGATTTCTTCAGCAAAGTCAACGACTGAAAAGGAAGCCCCTAACGTAGTGGAAAATATAAATAAAAATGTAAGAATACCCGATATAATTATTTAATTTGCATAAAGCTTGTTCTTTAATATTTAATTCTATTGTTCAGATTTCTTCCCCAAAGCCAAATACCAATACCATATGCCTTTCCAAAACCGTGGCTTTGATATCAAAAGTAAGTATAATAAAAAATAACATGTTCAGTACCTATTAAAAACTATAATTTTTAGGAAAATATTGACAAAAGAATTAAGCCCACCAAAGACTGCAAAAGATGTGCATTCCTTCAGCGCTCAAATAAAAATAACAAAGATGTTCCCAGGGTCTGTAATATATGCTTGAAGTGGGCTCATAAGGTTCTGCAAGATGGCGTAGAGATAACTCCTGTTAGAAATGTACCAATAAATAATACAACGGCATCTGAATTAGCTATGGTAAATCAACTAGAAATTACTAGAAACTTTTCACAATGCCGAATAATACAAATTCTTGCAGGCAGCGTTGAAGGAACACGATTATGCTGATTCTGAGTCCACGATTAAGGTGGAGATTGAGGTGGGTTTTTCTATATTATAAATATATTTTTTTGTTTACTTTAATTTACATTATTATCAGCCTGTAACAGAGGAGGAGGAAAGTTTAGAAGAAATGGATTCACCTATGCCTTCAGTTCATGTAGAGATTGAGGTAAGGTGAAATTGAAAAATAGTTTTTAAAACCTAATAAAAAATATATACTAATTTTTTGTAGTCCCTGGATGATTCTATGAACGATGAAATTATGTCTGATATTATTAAAGAAGAAGAGGTATGTATATAAAAAGAATGTAATGAAATTTTATAGTCATTACTGTATTTTCTGCAGACGGAAACCCTTTCCACGACGGAATCAATAGACTTTGATAAAGTCACCTTGATTCAGGATGGTTTAAAATCCATTGATGATAAAACTACGGCATTGGCACATGTAAGAATTCTGCAGGAGTACGCCATGTTAAATGATAACTATCGGGCCATCGGTCTTCTGTCTGAAGTTGAAGCAGCACTCATAAATCCAGCCAAAAATGAAGATTTTGAGTGTTAGATGTGATCTTAGGTTAGTTTTAGTGGGAAGAGGAATAGGAAACCCAAGAAAGATGAAACAGACTTGTAAAATAATAGAGACACATTTTATTTGTCTTCATCTGAAGATAAATATAATAATAAAAAGCTTGAAGTGATACTACTACAATATCTTTAGAACTGTTTATTATAAATGTAAGTATTTGCTGTTGGTATACAATTATTAAATTTATTTTAAGAAATACAAATAAATAATACAAGAAATAAAGACGTTTTAAACAATAACCTGTTAATTTGTATAATCAATAAATAATAATAATAACAATTCTAATCAGGCACCAAAAAAAAGTCTATAAAATTAAATTCAAAAGCAATTGGTTAAGCAAATACCAATACATGAATTTATATTATTTGTTGGAGCGGAAACCCATGGAAGCTCTCTCACAACAGGCTCTGTTAGCTCTCGATCCGCCTAAAAATACAAGCTGACAAACATATTGGTGAGAGATCGGGTCAGAGTGAGAGATCTCTCCCATAACGCTCAGTTCAGAAACTCGTCAATCCGGTTTCGTCGCCCGCCAGAAGAGCGACAGTCAGACCGAGAGCGAATCGGTTGTATATATGTATGTATACTATATACAAATTATCTGTTGAACATGTGTTTTAGTCTTCGACCGCCTTTCACACGATTTGGAGATTCAGCGTGCGCCCGATTTTGTGCCTAAAAACCTGCTGCAAATTTGTTTAAAAATCAAGTCTATGCTTCTAAAAGTGCAACAACAATAAGGGTATGTAATTGGTTTTATTAGTTAAGCAAGGCAAAGTAAAATTTTAAACTTTATGCGCAGCTACATTCATATTCAAAGAGAGGGAGAGTTACCCACCCACCAAGAGAGTAAACCCTCGCGAAGAGAGAGAAAGCCATTGCGAGCCAAAAGAGCCAGGGGACATGTACTCTGACGTAAGTACTCGATCTACAGTGGTAATGATAGTTTAAAATCTACAATAATAATAATATTATATATAAATTTCGGTTGATAAATAATTAATTATAATTATTTAAAATTTATAAAGGTATTAGTTTGGCAAAGTTGTTGCTTCTTTGTTTCTATGTTGATTAAAAAAATATAATAATAATAATAATATATCTAATTTTTACTAATAATAATAAAAAATATATTTAAATTTTAATTTGATAAACATTCAATCTGTTTTAAAATTTAGTAAGATATTAACAAAGATTTTCCTGTAAAAAATGTAATATATCTCTTCAATTTCAGAATGAAGACGACAATCAGAGCGATGGTGCTGGGGGATCGGGACGGATCCGGAACGTACTGACTCTGGAGGAGCGTGTGGCCGCCATTCGGCAGTATGACATTGTGCCCATGTACAGCAAAATCGCTCGCAACTTTAACTGCAGCTGGGAGCAAATCAAGAGCGTGGTGTCCAATCGAAAAGCAATCCTGGAGTTCCACGAGGCCACCAATATCCTAAGCAACATGGTCACTAAGGACGGCGAACTACGCCGGCGAAAGCTAAACTTTTTAGGCCACTGCCTGTACGAGTATATCCAGAGGGCCCAGTTCTATCTGAACAGCGACGTCAACGAGGAGCTGATCCGCAACAAGGCCATAGAATTCCGCGACCTTATGCGCATCGATGGCTTTACGCCAAACAAGCCCTGGATTAATCACTTCAAGGCCGCCTACAATATATCTCTCTCGAATCGACAGATTACTATTACGCGTAGACCACCGAGATCGATGGACCTAAGGGACATAATGTCCTACTGCGGACGACACACCTCGATGGCCTGTAACTTGCTACCCAGATCTCCGGAGCCCGCTCCGCCCACAACCAGCGATCAAAGGGCCATCGAACGACCTCTGTATCGCGCAAAGACCCTGATGAATACTTCTTGCCAGAACCAGGCCACCTCGGATGAGTTCCATATGCGACGAAAGCGTAAGATTACGTTTCTGGAAAAGTGCCTCTACGAGTACATCCAGCGGTCTCAGGTGCATTCCAATGGTCGTATTGACATGGACAATCTGCGATCCGTGGCCATCAGTTTGAGGGACATCTTAAAGATCGATAGCTTCTTCCCCGACAAGACCTGGTTCAATCATTTCAAGAACCACTACAACTTCACCTTCTCGGTGGGTGTTCCTGTTACCCGGCTCCTCTCGTTGGACCTCCGCGATATTGTCAGCTATTGCAGTCGGCACGAACAAAGGATAACCCTGGCCTCCAAGAAACAAGTGAATGCCGAAGCAAAGCCAAAAACAGGATCTAAGCCTAACACTCCCACAGAAAACGTGGACCCCGGAGACGAAGACGATGATGACTGTGTGGCCATAGAAGTCCCCACTGAATTAATAGAAATCAAAGATGAAGATGAAGATGAGGATAATAAGAGTGAACCAATCGAGACACCAATTAAGCGAAAAATGGAAGATAAAACCAACCAGAGTTCCTTGAAGATACAAAAGATACACCACTACCCACAAGCACTTGAAGCCTTCAATAAAGCGGAAGCTCCAGAAACTGCCCCTTCACCTAGTCCTGGTCAGGACGCAGAGGTCAGCAACGAAGCACAGCTACCAAGCTGCGTGGAGAACTACAAGGATGCCCTGCGTCTGCTAAAGCCCCTCGAGGATTTCGCCCTGATGGAGGAGAACTACCGCGCCATTGGCCTGCTCACCCAGCTGGAGAAGATCTTCGAGACGGGAAAAAAGGCTGCCGAGATGGGGTCTTCTGCTAAATAAGTGTCCAGCCAAATATATCAGCTTGGAGTTCAAGTTTAGAGATAAAGTTGATATCTATTGGATACATATGTAAATAATATTATTATTATTACGTTAGAGAGATACTAATAGATCCCATAAAAAATAGGTCTGACATACTAAACGACTTTGTAGAATAATTATTATTCTAAATTATATTTATTATAATTTTTTTAAGCCTGAGTATAAGGGAAAAAATTCCTAATAATTTTAAATTAAAATAAAAACTTAACAAAACTTTATAATAAATAATTAAAATTAATAAAATTAAAGTATAATTTTTAATAACAACAAAAATTTTTTAATATTATTTTTTATTAAACTTCAATTTTAGCTGTGAAAATATACAAATTTATAATTGATATGTGAAAGCAAAAACAAGTTTTTGCTGATTTTGGGGTGAGATTTATTCTCATCTCTCTTATCATATACTATTTGCTCTCAATCTCTAAAAATAGAAGCCTTTGATATACATATCTCCGTTCGTTGAGAGATCGGTAGAGCATTTTGCAATACTCTCTCGTAACGCTCTCTTTTTCAACTCGTCAATCTGGTTTCACAGAGACTCTTTTCGGGAGATTGCAAAAAGCGAGAGAGCAAAAAGTAAATGTGTATATAATCTGTGAACATGTGGTTCAGTGTTCCACCGACTTGATTTGGAATCCAGTGTGTGCTCCGAATTTGTGCCCAAAAACCTGCTGCAGATTTGTTTATAAACCAATTCTATGCTCCCAAAGTGCAACAGCATAAACAACAACAACAACAACAAAGAATAATTTGCAACTAAAAAAAAGCAAAGACTTTTTCGTTTTCCTTTCCGAGAGATTGGCGTCACACAACGAGAGAGGCAAAACCACCCTGAGAGCAAGTACATGTTCCAGAGAGCGCTGTCGAAAAGACATTCAATTTCAGTGGTGAGCAGTTTGTTTATGATTCTTTTATTTGTTTTATATGCTTTGTTTTGTAAATTATAAAACAAATAATTATAATGAAGCGGCTGTTTCATTATAAAATTTTAAATTTGTCTTCTTAATATAATAATATTATTAAATATATAAATATATAAAAAATGTTATATAATTTAGTTCTTTAGTGGTTCACGCTGGGTGAGATAAATCAACTTACTCCATAAAACATCGATATATCGATAGTGCCGTCACGAAAAAGCGTCATGATGACTTTTGCTCTCTCGACTGCATAATACAAAGAGAGAAATAAATGATTCTTTCGTTTGGAAACGAATTTTAGTGTGCAAAATGAGTAGCGATGAAGTAGAAGTGATTCAAGGGGAAAGTCCCCTAAGCACCGAAGAGTACGCAGATGATGACTTTATGACATGGTAAGTATAACCAAGATTAGTATTATTATTGTTTTATTAATATGATTATTGTTTGTAGGGAAGAGTATCAAAAAAAGCTCAAAAAAGCTGAGGCAAACAGGCGGTACAGAGAAAAGAAAAAGAAATTAAAGCAGCCTCCCAATGATGACCCAATAAGTACATGGTGAATATAACCAAGACGAGTATTGTTCTTGTTTTTATAATATTATTATTGTTTAAAGGGAGGAGTATGAAAAAAGGCGCAAAGCCGCTGAGGCCAGCAGGCGTTACAGAGAGCGGCAAAAATATTTTTACCTGCCTTCCAATGATGACAATAGCTTATGGTAAATATAACCAATACTGGTGATGTTTTTATGGTAATATAAATATATAATATATGTGCATAATGTAGCGAAGAGGATGAAAAAAAGCGCAAAAGGGCTGAGGCCAACAGGCGGTACAGAGAGAAGAAAAGGTTATTAATGGCTAAGGCTCCGAAACCAAATCCCAGAACGCCTCCAGCTGCAGACTACAGTAAAGCATGCAGAGAGCTTAAAAAACTGCAACAACCTGAAGCTGAAGATTGTGAAATATCATCTAGTTCCGTTTCATCAAAAATACTTAAAGCCATGAATAATGATACGGAATCCGATCAATTTAAAGCTGAAATACGTTACCAAGAGATCCTGCCAAAAGAACTCAATCTCCAAGATTCGGAAATGGTAAGTTTTTATTCATTATAATTAAATTAAATAATCTGTGTATGTATATAATTTTTTAGAACTTGGATTACATACAAGAGGCTCCTGTCCAAGAAACACAATCTGACAGTGACGACAGTAATGTTCCATTAAAAATTAACATCACTTTGTCTTCATCCTCTGAAATTGTAAGAAAATTATTACATTTTTCTTATATATTAAGTAATAATTAAATTAATTTTGTGCCATTCATTATTTATATTTTAGAATTTTGATGAGTTTCAAGAGACTTCTGTTCAGGACTCTATGAGCACAGGAAACCAAAGTGACAGTGATGAAATAAGCATGAGGTAAATATAACCAAGCAGAAGTTTATTATTGTTATTTATTACAAAAAATACTGATAAATCTATATAATCATCATAGTGATATCGTTCCTGTAACCGAAGACTTTGCCAAAATGTCTCCAGCAGAAAAGGCGGCTGAGGCTGCCAGGCGATACAGACTTTTAAAAAAATTATTAAAGCCTACCAAACCTCCGGCTCGAACGGCTTCCGAACGAAGTAAAGCATACAGAGAGCGTCAAAAAAGTCTACAACGTGCTGCGAAATTAATACTAAAAGACTCCAAAATAGTAAGTTTTAATTTATGAATTTAGATTAATATAAAATTATAATATTCATTGGTTTTTCCAGAATTTTAATCAGAAAGAAGCGGCTATCCAAGAAGTAATTAAAAAGCAATGTAAAAGTAATGACGATGCAAATATAAAACAAAGAAGTCCACCCAAAACACCTGGAGAAAGAAGTAAAGAATACAGAGAGCGCAAAAAGCGCCTGATAATGACTGCAGTTGAAGATATAGCCAAAAAGCAACTTGGAAGTTTACCAGAAAACAACACCTTAGAAAATGTAAGTGCTAAAATATTTATTATATTTATTTTCTCAATACTAAATACTAATTTCCAGACTGAAAATGACAATGAAACCGTTAAAACCGAAACAAGAAAACCGCTTCGTTACGTTTTGACACTGGATGAGCGCTTGGCTGCCATTCGGCAGTTCGATAACGAAGCCATGTACAACAAGATCGCTCAAAACTTCAACTGCAGCTTGGAGCAGATCATTCGCGTGGTGTCCAATCGAAAAGCCATCTTGGAGTTCCACGAGGCCACCGTTCTCCTGAGCAAGCAGTCCAAAGAGGACAGCGAACTGCGTAGACGCAAACTGAACCTTTTGGGCTACTGTGTGTACGAGTATACCCAAAGGGCTCGGTTTCATCTTCTGACAGACGTCAGCGAAGAGGATATCCTCCAGCGTGCCATCGAGTTCCGCAACCTCATGGGAATCGATGGCTTTACGCCAAACAAGAGTTGGATTAATCAATTTATGGCCGCCTACGACATAAATTTCTCAAAAAACTTAACTAATTTTACACAAAGACCGCGTATATCGTTGGACTTGAAAAACATAATGTCTCACTGTGTACGACATTCCGCCATGGCCTCCAACTTGGAACCGAGAGTTGTGGAGACCGTTGATGACATTGAACAGCTTTTGGATCATGCAAAAAACCTGCAGAAAAACTCTGAACACAAACAAGGCACCTCGATAGACCTGGAGTTTGAAGACGAAGTTAATAACGTTTCCGTGACCATGGATATTGAAGATAAAGACGACATAGATAACTTACCTGGCACACCCTTAATTGAGGAGTTGAATGATAATTCCCACCACAACAGCTCTTTGGAGATCGAACAGCTTCATCATTCACCGATTCACATCTGTGATTATCAGCTTGTGGATGATGAAATGCCAGCAATTACAACTGCTTTCATTCCTAGTCACAACTCAGAGATCATCGACGAGCCTCCGCTTCCACGCAACGTGAAGAACTTCAAGGATGCACTGCTTCTTCTGAAACCCCTCGAGGATTTTGCTCTGATGAGGGAGAACTATCGCGTCATAGGCCTAATTAGCCAGTTGGAACAGATCTTTGAGGCTGGCAAAAAGGCTGAAGAAGTGGGTTCTTTAACTGAATAATTAGTGTAAGGAGGCTAGCTCAATTATATGTAAAATGATATTTTCATAAGAAAAGTGATCCGTTGAAAATAGATGTATTTTGTTTTTTGATTTTCTGAATATACCAAAAATAATTACAGCAAATATTGATTTAAAATAACCTTCATCATTCACTTAAATATTAATCACTTATTTCCTGTTATAAAGCTTACTTATTTCTTAAGTTTAAATATATAAATTTCCTCTCATTTCATAAATAAATTTAAATTTATATATAGGAAAAGTCATCTTTAATCTTTTTTCTCCTCTAATGGCGACTTGAAATGTATATTCAACGTATAATCCCGGATAAGAATTGTCAAAGTGATGATTCCCATCTACAGAAAGCCGCATATGGGGGTGGGTCTTTCGGTCTTTGACCAGGTTACATAATCGCCTGACGCCTCTCCACTCGCCGCCCCAGCTGGAAGCACAATCAGCGCTGAAACTTTACGTTCGTCCTCTAAAACTTTACGCGTCCTGCCCGTCAAGGGAAATGGGATGTGGGTAGCTAGAGGTGGGAGCTGGAAAATGGGAAGCTGGGAGATGTGGGGCCAAAAGGGACGGACAGAGGTGACCTGCAGCTCTGGAGTCGGACGTGCGGAAGTGGGCAGGGTTATAGCTGGAAAGCGGAGACGGAGCCGGAGCCGGAACAGAACCCTGTAGGTGCTACATCAATTCTAGATGGGAAGCGCAGCCAGGGGGCAGAGCGGCGAAGGGCGAAAAGCGAGGAGCGGATGCCAGCAGCGAAGCGCAGCAGTCAGCATCCCAGCGAGGGACCTTGCGGTGCCTGGAGGTGGACACGCACACACATACACACACGTCCATTTACAGGTTACTGAGCATATACGTGCAGAGAAAAAAATAATATCAAATATATCGATTTTATATGCCTTACTATATATGGTTTTAATGCCCCCAAAGGTGGTTACGAAGCACATTTAATTTTATGTTATGAAAATACAGGCTAACTTGTTTTAAAGGATCCGAGTATTAAGGAGGCTTTTCTTAAGCTGTGAGACTTTGAAACCTAATAATTGTAGATTAATATAATATAATAATAATCACCCCCTTTTGAATCTGTATTAAGGACTTTAAGAAGATTTTTTAGTTCTCTCTAGAAAATTGTCCTTAAGGCTTCGCCAAAAAGTAGGCAATACTTTTTGCTGGCACTTTACAGAGTTATATTTTTATGGTCACATAATTTTATAATAATGTGTGACTAAATAATATAATTTCTCTTTCCACATTTAGTTTACTTTACAGAGAACCCCCTGTAGTAAAGTTTTTAAGCAGCAATAAAGTTTCTAGAATCTCCCCGATCGATTTGATATTTTATTACATATGTATGTGTTTTTGCACTGTGTGTGGGCGCTACGACTACATAACCGGGGCTATAGAGCCACATCCTCATTGCTACATCACCATTGCCATCCGTCCTCGATTCCGGCAAAGTTTCTTGCCATACGTTTGCAACCCTCCTGAGCAGCAGCAGTAGCAACGGCGACGGCAGGAGCAGAAACTGACGCTGAAGCTGAAGCAGCAGGAGCTTCAGCAGGACTTTCATTTCAAGGATTTCCGACCGACGACGTCAGACTCGACTCGACTGACGGGCTCGACGACTACTATGGAGAGCCCTCTGGTAGGGCGTACAGGTTGCCGTGGCGTGGAAAACCTACGAGTGTTGTAGGGTTAGCTGGAGGGGCATTCGGTGGAAGAAGCAACATCAGTGCAAATACGAACAGCAGCAGCTGGGGCTGGAGCTGGGGCTGGGGCAACAGACTTTGGCTCAGGTTACTGCCACACGGCTGCGCCCCCAAAACAAAATTGAAACCCCAGCGCGTTAAGAGCTCTGACATAAAACCCTGAAAGCGAAATTGCCATCGAGGGATATACGAGCAAAAGGACGGAAGGGACTACGAGTACATATACCTCTCCAGCTACCTCATCCTCATCCTCCTGCGCTGTCACCTCTTCTTCTTTGTCCCCTTTGGGCGCTATATGGCAGTACATATGCCATCACAGGCAGGAGGATGTACTATAACCGGCGGGCAATCGTGTATGAAAATACACAATTGGGTACAGTCGGGCCTTTCAAGCTTTATAAAGTCTGTACAACAGATCTTTGGGTGTACTGGAAACAAGGATAACAGGCTAATCAGTCAAAGAGATTTTGGGGTGAATCGTACATAATAAAAGACTGTGAGAACGTTGATACACTAACAGGAGGTATTATTATTTTAACGAGAAGGTTGTACGGTTTTTTAAATAATTTTAAAAATATATTAATGGTTTTTAAACAGGAAAAAGTAAAAAGAATTTAAAGAAGATTATAAAATTCATAAATATAGATATAAATATTATTTTCAAGTAGTATAAATATCAATGAATAATATAAATATAACTTATAAATTATTATTTATGTATTTCCTACCACAAGAGTATTTCAATCTTCGTTTATCCAACTCTATCCTACCTTTTAATAAACTTTTATTTGAAGAGTTTGTCCCGATTTAATTGGGCATTGCATAAAATTGATGAACGTTTTTATATTCTCATCCAGACGGCGTGAGATTCATTATTTTTTGTTCCCTATATAACAGGATTTCGAAATGCGTAGCGTAGCTTTTTATTGGTATTATAAATGTTTGCTGCTCTGGGGCCTTTTCTATTTACAGCTTTTATATAGCGCTCCTGGATATTACTTTTGTTTTTATTGTGTCAGAATCATCGAGTCCCCAGTGGTTCCAGGCGCTTTACTGGCTCCTAAGGGTGGGCATGGCGTGACCAAATGCCATGCAATGTTCCACAGACTTTATTAAGGTAATTTTATCTTTTATATATACTAACTATAGATATACATATATGTTTGTAAATGAAACCTCGCCAGGAATTCTTTCTCTTGCCTGGAAAGGGTATTTTAAAAACCAATTTATTAACTTTATAACGAACCCGTTTCTAAGTAGAAATGTTTGAAATTCCCCGAGTTTCTGTGGTTTACCCTTGGCTTCACTTAATTTCACTAAATTAAGAGTCACCTTCGGTGGTTTACCTTAAATAGTTTGCAAATTCAATTTAAAAAGGTAAATCACTTAGAGTCAAACGTTGATCTCTTAGGGGGGGAAAAAACGGAAATCAGTTTTTCCCGCCTAACCATTGGCATCCAGTTAATGCCACATTCAATTTCCATTATTTACTTTTGCCGCTTTTGTATATATAATATTGATTCTTTCATCATCCCAGACTCCCAGCCAGGCGACCCCACTTTAATCACCGAACATGCTAGAGTGAGGGATAATCGTGCCATTGTCTGCCAAATACGAATGAATGGCAAGCCAAAAGTGAAGACCCGACTCTGGGACCCGAACACCGAACCCTGAGCAAGTTCTACGAATACCCGTTCATCTGGAAAGCAGATATATAGATACAGATACAAAGATACTTGCCAGCGTAAATCGTGAGAAATGAATGAGAATCAAGTCTGTTTTTTCTGTTGACCATCGATTTATTTTGATATTTCTTGGTACTAAAAGTACTTATATTTCGGAACGCATTATAATGGCTCTGAGGCTGCGGGGCTTTATGCCCGTAGTACATCTCATTTGGGTTGTCGGTTCGTCATAAGCCTCTTGGGCTTTAGATGCTGCAGGCAGGAAGGCAGGCAAGTCAGGCAGCAGACGTTGCCCATGATGATGGCCCTTGAGCTGAGACTCTGGAGAGGCCCTGGATTCTGCTGCAGGTTCTTATTACGACGACAACGATGATGATGATGATGATGATGATGATGATGATGGTGAGGAGGATGCTGAGAATGCCCACAGCTTGAATTTCAGACATGCGCCGCCGCTCCAGCAAATTCGAGTTCGGTTTTTTGTACACTCGCACTTCGTCTTTTCTCGTTTCGCTGGCACAGCTTTCGATAGATGCTAATCTATCTTTATTGTGCCAAAGATGTGGAGAGGACGACGAGTCGTCGTACGAACCGATGAGGGTACAAAAAGACAACCTGGCGACCCTCTTTCCTGACCCTCTTCTTATCCAGCTCCGACTCCTATAAATACCATTCGCAATCGTCGTGGCATGTCTTGAATTTCATTTGGGTTCGATTTTGGTTTGAACGAATCGATTCGCTCGTGTTTGTGGGACCCCAAGGAGCAACTTTCAATGTTTGCTTAAGTTCGCCAAGCTCAAGATGACTAGACTCAAAAGATTTATCAAGGTGGAGATGGAGTGCAGTGTAATTGGGGATGATAAATTCCATTAATCGAATTAAACGACATTTGTCAATCTATATTTATACTTTTGAGGGGGTGAATTTCATATAAATGGAGAGGGCGGTGTTAGGAATTGTTGACTAAATTCTTTATATGACACATTTTGAATAAACTTTTTCACTGAACAAAAAATAAATCACATTGAAATAAAATTACTATGGCAACATAAAGGGAGTAAAGATATATAATATCCTTTCGGAAAGATTAAAAAAGATAGCTGGTTCCCTTGAGATATTTTAAATCAAAGGTTAACATGGAAACAATTTTATTTCTGGAGTTTTTAGATTTATTGCAGGAGAATGATTTAAAATATGTTTAAAAATTTAATCCTAAATAAATATCTTGAATAATTAATTTTAAATAAAATTAAGACTAAGAAAGAAGAGAAAAAAAAGTAATTATTTATCATTGAATATATCATTATCACCATTATTAATTATTATAATTATAATTATATATTAAATTTTTACAATTTTAAAAGTACTAGTAAGATAAAATGTTCTTAAAATATTTTTTAAATAAATAAAGAATAACTTTCCGACTATAAAAATGGCATCTAGGATTCATAGCCTTTAAAAAGTATTGCCTACTTATTAGGGTTAGTCATACGAGTCCTACGAGAATCAAAAAATCATTCTGGCGATGGATACTCTTGTCTAATCAATCTGAAATTTGGTATATAGGAAAAATTCTAGGACCAAAGAATAATGAAATCAAAAGATCATTCAAGATAAAATTGCAAATGCCAAAATATACCCCAATTATAAGTAATTCCAAAATGATTTCACAAGATACAAAGCTTCCACCACCACCACATAGAAACCACCACCAAAATTTTCTCTTTTACTATACTACATGTATATAAAGCCACAAGATGTAGAGCCCCGATATGGAAAAGGCAATAAACTCGTATTAGCTACAGCAGGACGGCGCGGGGATTGGAATTGGAATCGGGACTGGGATTACCAAGAGTCTTCGATGTCGACAGTGACGCCGGCTGCTCTGCCGGCTTCGGGGCAGTGGCATGGAATCGAGATTGGAGCAAAGGGAAACGGAAAATGGACAGAGGAAGCAGCGGAACAGCGGAACAGCGGCACTAGAGGGGCACAAGGCACAAAGGAAATTACTAGGAAAAATTCAGGTCCCTATGGTGCTTTTGGGTGCGACAGAATAGATACTCACTCGTACACACAATGATATGTGGCAGGGCAGGACGGGACAGGGCAAGGCTGGCAGGGGATATAGGGCCAAGGGACGCAGTTAGACTGGGTACACCGGCAGATAATCAGAGAAGCCGACTGGACGACGGACAACATACAAGGGACGCTGCAGGCGGACACCACATATAGATTATACACTGGGAAAAGATGGGGAGATACCAGCCGAGATACTCTCTCTTGCACATATATAGCACCAACCTCGAGGGACCTAAACCTCGAACCTCGAGCTGCCATCGGAATGGCATGGCATGGCATGGCCTGACATGGAATCCCAGCGAGCACACTGGGGCCAAGGCCCGGGACCTAATCAAAAAAGGTAATGGAAAAATACTATCTCGGGTCGTGGCAACGATTTCACAATGCCCGGGAAGCGGGGGAGGACGAGAGGATGCCAGGCCGGTGTGGCGGGATGTGATGTTCGGTTCGATATAATACATAACCATAATAAATTCCATGGCTAAATCCCCGCATCTGGCTCTCCAGAAAAAGGTCATAATAGATGAGCTTAGACGAGTTCTGGGCGAGTGGGCGGGAGGCAGGCGGTCCTCCCTATTACAGTGGAGCATTAGTACTTAAAATTATGATGTGGAATAATAAATATATTTTGCAGATCTAAGCTTTTTTTATTCTTTTTTTTTAATTAGCTTTTTAGAAAGAGGTTTTTATATTTTCATTAAATTTATAAGTAGCAACAATATGGTTATTTTTCAAGTTTGTTTCGAATATTTCAAGTTTTCTTAAGAGCATAAATTTAAGTTAAATTTTGTAACAACAGAAATGATGAAAGAAGTTATGTAAAATATGAATTTAAAACTATTATATATTTTTATGGATTGCTCTGTTGTCCTTAGATTCCTGAAATAATTTTCTCCTCCAGCTAATTAAATTACAGTCCATCAACCTTGAGGAAATTCGATTTATAGACGCCCGACTGTGTATATAATTCGGTCCTTGTCCAAATGTGTGTCCTAGAGTGTGGGTGTGTGTGTGCTTGTAGGGTTCCCTGCTCATCGCAATCACTTGGATTCAGAGTCATGAAATGGCAAAAGGAAAGGTCATTTTCTTCCAATGCTCTCCAGCTCGTTTTCTAAAGGTTGCCAAGGGCTTATCCCCGTGCGCGCTCCTCCTTGCCACCCAACTGACCGACCCTCCTTCACCGCATTTGGAGAAAAGTTTCCTTGGCACTGGTCAGTGGCCGATAGCTGCTGAAATATAATATAATAGAGTCAAGTCATCGTCATCGTCAACCCGAGCATCCAAGAAGGAAAGTCCAGAGCGGAGTCCCCAAGCGCCCAGACCTCCCATTAGCACCACCCACAGGCCGCCTTACGCCCCACCGCAGAGGTTGATGCTGTGGTTTTATACCTTTTCCAATACTTTTCCTTATGTACACACACCTAATATATATACACATAGAGCTGGCGGGATATAAGTATATAGAATGAATGCGATTTCCCACCACCGAGCGACACATAATCGTATCGAAAATGGAAGGGAACCGAACAGAACCGAAAAGACGAACCCAAACTGAGCGTTATCCATTTGTATCTTGGACTTGTATTAAAACTAATCCATCAAAAGGCTTTCGACCTAATGCTTTGTTTTTTGTTTAGTCCCACATTGTTGTTATTCTTTGCGGCTGCTGCTGCTGCTGCTGCGGCCAGCTCTGCCGGCTTTGCAGTCGAGGCTCTAGTTATTTATACGCTCAATCCCAATAGCAATCCCAGTTCCAATCTCAAACCCAATCGCCTACCAAACCGGGCAGCGATACTTCAGGTTACAGTCGTATATATACAAGATACACATGCCAGCGGTAGTATATCTCAGCAGCCTCGGCACTGCAGCATCTCTAAGATAGCCCTAGTAATGTGTGTGTGTATCAGTATGAGTATCTGTGAGTTTTGGCTGGAATTGGAATGGTATGGATTTTCTGTACGTGCGCTCATACTTGTACTCGCGTATATATATTATACTAGTTGCCATGGCACTTCTCCGCTAACGGATGTCGAGACTGAAATGAATGCCTATAATGAATGTCCCAAGAAGAACCCGAATCCGAGCATCTCTCGCAACCACCACTCACGACTTGGACTCGGCGCTTATATGAAGTATCCCATAAGAAAACTCGTTTAAATTGGATCGATGCCAAAGCAAAATTTTATACTTACAAGTCAGGCCATTCGAGTGGACCCAAGAGCGGAGAAGAACAAGCTAAGATCGTTTAAGGTTTTATTAGGGTTTAGCTGGGAGATAGGGATCAGTAGATAGGGATATTTTATTCAAGAGAATTTAAGGACTCGAAATATTGAATTAAAGGGGATCTCTTGAAAGTAGGGAAGTCCAAGTTGATCGCTTTTTATGATAAATAAATAATTTAAAACCTAAGATCAAGCTTGAATTTAATATTAAGAATTATGTTATGTCAGTCATTAATATTTTAAATACATACTTCAATTAAAGCTCCCTAAAATTTGTATTATTTTCCCAAAACAAGGTTCACCCCAAATACCTTTAATAAAGCCCAACAAGTCAATAATAATAATACCCAAAAATAGTTATAATTACTAACATTGGTGTGGGTAAACCCACACATGTAAGTCCCATACTGTCACTATATCTGCCTCAAGCATATAGATACCGGAATTCCAAGTGAATTTCGTCAGACCCACAACCGAAACCAATCATTCACCTGAATAAAAGATATATAAACAGATATATACACACAGAAACGGAGGGAGATGGAGGATGGGAGGCAGTTGCCATAGCGAGCACTACGTAAGCCCAAAACCCGAAAACCCATCAGAGATACATCTATGTACAAACCCCGACCCAACTGAAGCCATAAAACGCACCCCAAAGGTAGGACGAGATGACAGGTTGGGCTTCGGTTTCAGGTTCGGGTTCCGAGCTCGGGTCTCTCTGGGTCTTCGGGCATATATATCGCCGATGGCTGACAGTCGAGACGCTGCGACCGACAAATGACACCATCCTCCCTACCGCCCTTATCCTGCTCTGGTCTTTTCTGTTGTGTCCTTCTGACGTTTCCACGTTCCGACGCCCTGGCTCCTGGTATTTTTGTTGCTGTCGCTGCCGCAGAGTGTTTGTTTTGTACGTCTTACGGCAACGCCAGCGTCGACAGCGACTGCGACGCCACTCTTGGAGAGCGATGCTGGCAGCTTGGATATTTTTCGCAAAAAGATGGGGTTTTTTAATAAAATTATAAATTATTTTAGGAATTTAATATTTAAAAAGCTTTCGGGCTTATGTGAAAACTTTCTTTAGGAACATAGAATTGGTCATATAAGTAAAATATATCTCTGAAAGATACTTAGTAGTTTATTATATTTATTATTTCGCTAAGAAATATTAACAAAATAAATATTTAAAATTAAATTTATATATTTAAATATTTATATTTCTTGAAATATTTTATTATTTTATCTTTAGTTTATTCTATTTTTGAAGTATTAAATATTTTAAACAAGTTTCATTTCAAATTTTAGATATCTTTTTTTCAAATAAAGCTCTAAGAATTTTGAAAACATATTTTTAACATCTAAATATATTCTTTTAACTAAACATGTTATATCCTCTCTCTTGAGCGGACAGCTTCGCGGACAAGGCTTAAAATACATCAAAAAGTAGGTTGCAATGAATCTAAGTATCTGTGTTATTTTTAGATATTTCTAAAGCATCTCTGTTGGCAAGGTGCTTTGGCTCTCATCCGTCCTTGTTAACGTCTGAGCTTCTTCAGCTACTGCTGCTGCTGCGCTGCTCCTGGCTCTGCTTCTGCCTCTGCCTCTGCCACTGCCGCTGTCTCTGCTGCGGTCGCAGTCGCAGTCAGTGCCTTAGGTTTTTTTGGTTTGGCATGGCATGGCTTGGCCCGGCTTGTTTGGGATTAAATATTTCCTATAGATGGGAAAAACGAGTCGGTCGGGGTCGTTCGTCGAGTCGATGTAGCCATAGCTATGGCTGTGGCGATGATGATGTCGCTAGTTTCGTACACTCCAACTCGGTGCACGTTCACTCTGTGCTGAACGTTCGTGGGCAGCGGTTCTCGCAGCGCGTTTAGCGGATATTTTTCCCCGAGTTTTCCATTTCCCTGGTGGTTTGAATCCGGGCAGAGACATTATATATTATCTCGCATATATATCGCGCAAACTTGGAGAAGGTCTTGACTTTCGAGCGGTGTTTCGTGGATATATAAACCGCAGCCGATACGTTTTTCGGTTGCTCCGGATGTGAGTACCACTGTGCGGATGGGCAATTTGTGTGTGATGATGATGATGTAGGGCGAGTGGGCGTGGGATGTACCAGTGTGTGATGTAAACAAATCGGGGTCTTGAGATTCTGTCGCCGTCGCTGTCGGCGCCTGCTTGTTCTTGTAATTAAAAAAAAAAAAACCGCATTTGCATGCCGGTGTGTGTGTTTTGTGTGTGTTTTCTGTGTTTTGAAAAATCCCCACTTTTGTTTTTGTTTGAATTTCTTAGACATCGCGGCGTCTGCTGCTGCTTCGACGCTGACCGCGGCAGCGGTTTGTTTTGGTTTTTGCATTTTGTTTGTTTGATTTTCGGCGTTTATTTATTTTTTTGGTTTTCCAGTGTGTGTGTGTGTGTGTGTCAGCAGTGTTTATGGGGGGTGTGATAAGGGGACATTGCCCCACTGATTTGGCGCCAATTGAATGGGAGGAAGTCCTTGAAGCGGCCAAGGACACTTTTATGAGGGGGCGTGAACACTAAGTGGGTGTTGATTCCGCAATTGGGTGATTCGATTCAAATGGTGCATGTCTAATAGGTAAAGCTGCTTATTGGTGATTTATAAGTTGGGCTTCTGATAAGAAAAGCTACTTATGAATGGTTTATAGATCCATTTTTATAAATACAAATATTTTTTTATGAATTAAGAGTGGTTTATTGGCTTTATTTATATTTAACAAAAGGTTTTAATGTGGTTATATGGTTGTATTTAATTTTAAGAAAAGGTTTTGACGTTTTGTTATCCTAAGGATTTATTTTTGTGTACAAAAAGTAATTTTCAAGAACTTATTAAAAGTTGCTTGTACAGAAATGACTACAATAACTTTTTCTTTTCATTAATTGTTAAATAGCCATCCATCTTGGAGCCGTCGGTGTATATATTGAGGTATTGAGCACGGTCCTGGCCTGGCTTCTAGTCATTAGGACCCTCAACTATTGTTGTGTTTACATCCGGGCATGTTCTGGGTATCATGTAGTCAGATGTACTGCTCTTGTCTCGACCAATTGAACTGTGCCCGAATCCTTGTAGCGACAGATTTCCAGATGCAACCAGACGTTCCTGCTGTCAGTTGTGCTTGGTTATCTAGGGGATAAAAATCTAGGGATATCTAGGGGATAAAAACAAGTTATTAATGATTTATATAAAAAGGGATTTTTATTAGTTAATACAAGTTAATTGGAGGCCATTCTAAAAGCACATTTAACCCCTAATTTGGCTTTATTTGTGTTTGTGGCTAAGCTGGTTTACATTACCCCAATTATAAATGTAATTACAGAGAGCACTTGATGTAGAGAACCTATAAATAAAAATATACAAATATATAAAATTAAAATCATAATAAAATTACTTTCAAAAAAGCCAATATAATTATTTTCCATGTTTTGGGTATTATTTCCTATTATTTCCTATTCGTCATAAATCTTGTTCACTTCTCTTCCAAACTAGTATAAACCATTTGCTATCTATATCTCACTTTAATGACCTCATAGACCATACCCACCAGATACAAACATAACGAATGCCATACAATATAACACATATAGGCCAGCAGCATAGTCTGTTTCTTTATTCCCATGAGTGTATATCTTCCCCTCAAATCTGAAATAATTCACATATACACACACAGCATATCGAAATCAAGGCATGCTGACATGCCAAGCTATATAACATCCATTTATGCGCTGCTAAAACCAGCCCAAAAAGGTCCAACCAAACCACCTTGAGATACAAGAGATAAATAAGTAAAGTAAACTCATGCCATAGCCCGAGCCCAAGACGAAAAACCAATCGCAAAATTACCTGACATCGTGAGCATCGTCGAGTGAAACCCAAAACTACCAGCTTAATCCCCGGGCGGTGGGAATCTGAAGGGGAATATGCTATAGTATATCCATATATAGACAAAGGGGCAGGTCGAGAGGTAGGATGGTTTGCGTTAGGTAGAACGTAGAAACGAACCAAAAAACGAGCCAAAAAACCGAACCGAACTGAAAACTTCCTAGGCAAACACAATGGCTGAGAGATACTGCGATACAGAGATACAAAAGATATGTTGGGCCAACAAAAGGGAGCCCGAACTGAAGTTGAGGCTGTGTTCGGTAATGGCAAATGGGATTGGGATTGGGACCAAGACCAGGGACCTGGGCCCAGGACCGAAACCGGGGCATCATCTTGATTGCTCCGATGATAATGACGCTGCACGAAATTTCCCGAAGAACCCAGGAGCTAAGGCAGCTTAGGCAGCAGCAGAAGTAGCAGCAACAGCAACATCGACGACGACGACGACGACGAAGACCAAAACGTATAGGCAGCCATTAGGGTGATTCTGTGGGAGGGGAATCTCCAGCCGAGGAGCTGGAGGAGGTGAAGAAGGCGAGGGCGGGAAATACCCCTGGGGGCCCAGGGAATGGCGAGGGACAACTCTCGAGGCGATTAAGATAAAGTGCCAATCGATATAAGGGAAAGAAACGTAAGAACTGGCGAACTGAGCGAGCTGAGATGTCGAGATACTCGTACTTGGAGCTACATCCAAGTCCGCGTCCACGTCCAACGTCCGTATCCGATGCTGTGTATATATGTACACTAAGCGACGAGTTAATAGTGTAGTTTACTTCATTTCGTTAATAAAAATAATTACAATTTTATTGTAAAATTTCGATATACATTTTTTCTGTTTTAAATATTAAATAATATAATTTATAGAATAACTAGAAAACTTCAAAGGTTTTGAGAGGTTTATCCTGTTTTTATACCCTTGCAGGGTATTATAATCTTTAAGAATCTTTAATTTATTATAATAACATATATCGCTCATCCTGGGTAACCTTTAAAACATAGCATTGCATACTTTTATGGATCTTATTTAGTGATTTGAAATCTCAAGAGTTTTAAGTTTTCTTAAAATTTAATTTAAGACAAAAATAAATAATAAATGAGCTCTTACATTAAAAGATAATTCCCAAAATATATTATCATACTCTTTTTAAATGTTCTCAAAAACCTTCACTATTCTCATGGCCTATGCTGTGAATATATAGCCATACTCAGACTCAGACTCAGAGCCATACCCGTAGCCATAGCTTGGGCCATAGAGAGCGACATAAAAGGAAATATAAAACCATTTATAAAGCGAGTCAGTCAGGGGAGATTTGAATTGGAATTGATGGTGTAGTGCACTCGACATCGTGATAGTATGTGTGTGTACGAATAGTATCTGTGTGTGTATCAGCACACACACACACAGCAAAAGGAAGACGAAGCCGAAGCATAGACGAAGCGCAGTCGCGTTGTGTGTCAAGGTGCGAGTATCTTCAAGATGGAAAGTGGAAGGGTTCGGTGCCTTGGGCTTGGGTTTGCGCTGGGGTTTGAGATTCGGTTTTGGTTTGGGTTTTCAGGCTGAGAAACTTTGACGCTGGCTGCGCTGCTCCTGCTTCCAAGAAGTTTCCGGCGCAAAAACTTTGCTTGAGAGTAGAACGAACAGCTGCGTAAGGAAATCCAGTAAGAGACCAGAGACTGCTAGAAAGAGATGTGCAACAGTGAGCAACCCCTAAGCTGGCTCAAGTCCGGATATAAAACCCAATTTCGTAAATCCGTGTCAACGGTAAAACAACAAGGGGAATCACCGGACATAGGCTTAGGTAAAATTCCTGAAAATCTGAAACAAATTCAATCCAACTGAAAGGCACTTCTTTAGCCATCATAGAGTCTGAAGCTATAAAAACCATACTATAAAAGTACTACTGGTGAAACGGACATGCTGTTCGCATTAAGTCATCTCGATCTCGAATCTCAATCTCGATCTCTCCGGGGAGCAGTGCTAATCCGAAGACCGGCTCTCTGACTCAGACAGGTGGCTCTGGATCCGTGACTCAGCAGCCGAGACTGACTATAAACATCTTTGGGAGGGAGGTTGCGAAAAGGGGGCGCGACCCAGAAATTCGTTCGCTTTAGCCGAGCTTTGCTGTTTACAATCTCCAATGGTGTGTATCCGTCAGATACCAGATACAAAGTGGGTGTCTCTGTATGAGTACTCCCCGATATGGAGCGTTGGGGGTATGGCTCCGGTTCTGGTTTTTGGGTCTGTATCGATTTACGAAGGCGTATAAGGCTTATAACTAATGTTAATGGGTTAAGCAGATGTGTGTAGTTTTGTAGATGTATCTGTAACTATATCAATAGTATGTATCTGTAGCTATATCTGTATCTTCTGCCTTGTATATCTTGTATTCCCCTTGACTCTCTGAAGTGGACGCTATGCAAGACCTCGAGGTCGTGTCTATATACTTATATATAATTTTTTATTAATAAATATGGTTTTTAGTTTGCCACAATCTGATGAGTCATGTGAGCTCGTGAGTTGATTGAGTTCAAGTCCCCAGCGAATAGAGCACTAGCTTGTGGATCGAATTCATCATAAATTTGTTATAACTGTCCTTCTGCGTTACTCGAAAAGCTGATTCATTGGGAATGTTTACCTGAATTTCTCAGAAAACAATGCTGCTTGGGGATTTTACAATGTTTTAAGATTGGAAAACAGGGAATTGTGAATTGATATTTATTATTCTGGCGCCTAGGGGATTCAAATGGACAACCATTTTGACAAGTACCGTTAATCACAGGACTGCCAGACTTGTTGCTCCTTGCCAGACCTATTCAATTCCAAAAGGACTTTGGCAGCGGAATAAACCAAATCAGAAAAGGCAGACGAGCAGAAATTGTGTTAAATATTTTTCAATTCCTTTAATTATAAGCTAATTATCTCTTTACTAACTTTTGTTTTCTTTCCATTTCCAGATCCCGTTGGTGGTTTTTTATTTTCATCCCATTCCGTGGCTTGGCGAAGCGTCAGCGACGCCCAGCTCTTCAAGATTTAAGATTCGGGGCCAACAGCAATTCCAACCGCAGCCCGAGATGCCCACCATCCGGCGCTGCTGCATCATCGGCTGCCTGTCCAATTCGCGTCAGCATCCGAGTATGCAGTTCTTTGCCTTTCCACGCCCCGAGAATCCCTTCCACAAGCTGTGGAAGGAGGCCTGCCACGCCTCCCTGCGCCGGATTGTGCCCTTCAAAAAGCCCGTGGTGTGTGCCCTGCACTTTGATCCCAGTGTCCTGGGCGGACGACGGCTTCAGTCCAATGCCTTGCCCACGCTACGGCTGGAGGTGCCCTCAAATCTAGAGGCCGTGGAGCAGCAGGCAATGGTGGAGGAGATCGAGCGGAGCAGGAAGTGTGCCTACATCAATGCCGTCGTCTACGAGTGGCTGGTGCGGGCCAACATAAATCCGCAGCTAAGGGGCAGCATCACCCACGGCATGATCAAGGACAAGGCGGAGAATGCCCGCCAGGTGATCGGGAGCACCTCGTTTATCGCCGACAATCGCTGGCTGAACCGCTTTCGGGAGACGCATCTCCAGGGCTTTGCCCAAAAACTGGCCAGCAATCAGCTAAAGTCCTTGGGCTCTTCCCTCTGGATTCCTGACATAGTGCAGGACCTGGCTCATCTCTTTCCGCCCGCTAGTGCTGAACGGGTGGCCAAGCTGGAGGAGATGCCCGAACAGTACATGAGCTACATGCAGCAGTATGGCGAGTACGAGGAGGATGACGACAGTATGGATGTCAAGGAGCAGAGCTACCAGGAGCAGCAACAGCAGCAGCAACACTTTGCTCTTCAACAGCAACACATGCAGCAGCAGCAGCAGCAAATGGGCCATCCGTGGCCACCGTTTGCAGGACATCCTGGGCATCCGCCTCATCCAGGATTCGCCAGCTTCAATGACTTCTACTTCGAGCGCCACCAGCAGCAGATGCAGCAGCAACTCCAACAGCAGCAGCAGCAGCAAATGCAGCAACAGCAGCCACAGTTCCCACCTTCCATGCCGCCGCAAAGGGAACCCTTTCAGCCGCAACTGCCGCCCAATGTGCCTCCCCAGAGAGCCAGTCCCTTCCAGCCGGTGCAGTTGGCCAAGCGGCCAAAAATGGAGTCTCCCGACGATGATGAGGTGCAGGAAATCAACTCGGCGGTGACCTCACCACCACTTGCTCCCGCAGAATCAGCCAAGGGCAGTCGCAGTTCAAGTCCCAAGGAACAGAATAACAACAGTAGCGGAGGAAGAGACAGTGCCAGCAGCAAGGAGAATGCTCCTAAGGGCGGCGGACCCAGCGGGAAGTCCACGCCAGCACTCTCCGTCAAAGGCAAGGATTCACCGGCGCCAGTCAAAGCAGCCTCTGCTCCCACCTCACCTAAAAAGATCGCCAACGGCAGCAGCAATTCCTCCGGCAGCCAAACCAATGGTCACCCATCTCCGGAACCCGAGCAGAAGAAGGCGGTGGCGATGCTAAACGAACTGGATAGCTACACGCAGGCACTGGAGTACCTGAAGCCGCTGGAGGATTTTGTCCTCTTCAAGGAGAACTTCCGAGCGATTGGGTTGCTCTCTCAGCTGGAATTGGTGCTGCGCAAGGGCGACAAGGCCACGCTGGTCGAGGGTTAAGAGGACGACTACTGGGGTTTTCGGTCCACAGGACAACGAGCACAAAACACAAATGTGATGAACTGTGTACATATGTATCAAAAAATAGTATTATTAATTTTTCATAAAGAATATCCTCTCACAGAAGCTGAAAATAACTAAATAATTTATTAATTACAATAAGAAAATTAAAATAGAATTTTAATATTGAATGGAAAAAGTATTTTAATTGGATGGATGCATGGGAAACTTTCTGTTTTGTATTTTTCAATTAGAATTGTTTATCACAATTTATTATTTTAATTTTTTCATTAAAGCATTTAAAAAAACGTTAATCGTTATCGACTGTTATAAATAAATCAGTCTGGCAACGCTTCCTTGAATAAGAGTGACCATATATAAGAGTTCAATAATAAACACAAACAGCACTTGGTCACTCTAAGTCAATGTTTACGTTTTTCTGCGAAAAATCAGCAAATTGTTGCTAAAAAACGTTATTATTATTAACAAAACTGGCCCAAAACCGCACAAATGTCGCTGCTCAATCAATACGAGCAGCAGTATGCATCGCTAATAGCCGAAATCACCGCCCATATTGGACGGTTACAGCAGCAGAACAACAACAGTGAGTTCACAACCCATTTTCCTGCCAGCCATGATTAATTTGAACCTGTGTTTCCCTTAGGTGAACGCAACGATTTGTGCAGCAAGATCGATGCCAGTCTGCCGGAAGCCCAGGAGCTGCTGGAGCAGATGGGCCTTGAGGTTCGCGAACTGAATCCCACCCAGCGCAGCAGCTTCAATGGTAAACTGCAGGTGGCACAGGCCGAGCTGAAGCGCCTGCAGGCGGAGTACAGACAGACCAAGGACAAGCAGCGCGCCCAGGCACACAACACCTTCACCACCTTGGATCTGGGCGATAGCTACGAGGATGTGACCATCAGCACCGATCAGCGGCAGCGATTGCTGGACAACTCGGAGCAGATCGAACGCACGGGCAACCGGCTAACCGAAGGCTATCGCGTGGCTTTGGAAACGGAACAGTTGGGCGCCCAGGTGCTGAATGACCTGCATCATCAGCGGGAGACGCTCCAGGGAGCCAGAGCTCGCTTAAGGGAAACCAATGCCGAGATCAGTCGAGCCTCGCGCACCTTGAACAACATGATGTTGAGGGCTATGCGCGAGAAGGTGGTCCTCTATGGCGTTGGTGTCTGCTTTGTGGTAGCCGTGGGCGTCAGCATTTACCTAACCTTTGCTCCCGGCTCCTCGGTCACCTCGTAGTCATCCACGTAGCTCAGAAATAACCAATGATAGTTCGATTGTAGGCCAAGTTTAGCCATTCCAATTTGTCGTATGTTGATTATTTATTGTTTTAGCATATATTTTACCTTTACGCGTTACATATTCCGTGGAAGAAAGCTTCAAACTTACGCACTAAGCTAAATACGCTCTAGGGTGGGTGCATTAGTTTTACCAGAAAAATGTTTAGGAACAAAGAGTAATCCCTGGGTTACACAATTTTATACGTAAAACCAAAAACTTTGTATTATATTTTGCCCTAAGAAAATTTCCATAAAAAAATAACATTTCCCTTTAGAAATTTGCACCAAAAACATTTTTTTCAGCTCCCCAAAAATGCAATCCACCCTAAGTTACGTGTACAAAGTTTAAGTAGTTAATGTTTGGCATTGACTTGGCGCCTGGATTATTATAATAATAGTAACCTAATCCTAATCTATGACTCGTGTTCGCATCCGGGACGTGTTTCGCATTAAATTCGAAATTAAATATTCATATTCATAGCCAAAAACTGTTAATAAATAAATCATAAATACAGTAAAATGCATTTCTGCAAGCATTGAGCTTGGGCTTCCTAGCCGAACTCAATGTTCCCCAACTGCTAGCAGCCACAGGAGGAGGCATCCTCCTCGTTCATCACCGCATCGCTGGCCGTGTCAACCTGGAAGCTCTTCTGCTCCAGGGCCTGCAGCTCCATTTTGGAACGATTGGCGTGCACGAGCTGCCTGGAGATATCGCGGAACATTTCCTCTACGCCGGCACCGCTGCGACAGGAGGTCTTGTAGGTGGCACTGATCAGCGAGTGACACTGCTCGCAGAAGGCCTCCACCTCCTCGTCACTAACCTCCGGCTCCCTGCCCTCCAGATCGCTCTTGTTGCCGCAAATGAAGATCTTGGCATTCTCCGCATAGGTCACAATGTCCAGGAGGTGCTGCGACAGAGAGTGAAACGAGGCGGCGTTGTCCAGGGCAAACACGAGAATGGCTCCCTCGGCGAATTTGTAATACGACGAGGTGACCGAGGCCACGCGTTCCATGCCGCCAGTGTCCCAGAGTTGGAGCTGTTGGCGGTAGAATATGTAATACACATATGTTAAATTGCAAGACACGGTCTTACCTTGATCTGCTTCTCTGCTATATTATATTCCCGATCGATATGATCCAATCCCAGCGTGGATTTCCTGTCCGTGTCCGTGACAAATGTGTTGGTGGCGAACCGCCGGAACAGGGAGCTCTTGCCCACGCCATAGTCACCGCACAGGATCACCTTCTGCTTGGGTATGCGCATCGTGGCCATGACTTCGACTTAACTTTGATTTCAGCCAAAAAATAATCCAATTACTTTGCACCTGCAGACAACAAAGCGCCAACAGCTGTTCCTCCTGAAGAAAAACAACACCTGGAAAGTGCTGCCAGTCTGCTCCACCACAGTGTTATCGATAGGCAGCTCGATAATTACTATCAAGTTTGAATATTTAAAAATATCAACTAATAAAATGGTTTTGATTTCCTTTTAATATATTTGTTTTATATGATGGAAGTGAAGTAAAAGTGCCAAGAAATCACTCAAGTTCTAGGTATTTTTGATTAATTAATACTCGGAAGCTGCTTAAATGAAAGGGGTTTCTTATCAAGCTGGTGATTAAGCGCGCTTACAAACTTATGAATGAACCTTATCAGGGAACTTGTTTGCGAATTTTAAGTGAGTGTTACAGAATATTATTATATATAAATGAGAGTATACATAAGATGATATTTTGGGGAAGCTGCAGTAGTCAGTGATACGTCGGTGCAAGCTGATGATTTCGTATAAAAATCACAGCATTAAAATTATTATAAGTTTTAACGTTCGATTATGTATGTATGTGTATATAGTGTTACCTTTAGTTATTAGTTAAACATGTCACTTTTGCTGGTAACTCTCTTGGCCTGCTCTGCCGTCGTGACTCATGGTAAACAAATAAATCAAAAGTTATCTGTTTTTATAAGTAAATTTCTAATTAAAGGGAAAGCTGGTTACGGGCCGGGAGAGCAGGATTGGGGCTACGTGGACGTGCGTCCCGGAGCTCACATGTTCTACTGGCTTTACTACACCACCGCCAATGTTTCAAGTTACACGGAGCGACCACTGGCCATTTGGCTACAAGAAGGTCCTGGAACATCTTCCACTGGATTTGGTAATTTTAAAGAACTCGGACCCCTAGATTTGAAGGGTAATGAGCGCAACTGGACCTGGGTTAAGGATATGAATGTCCTGTTCATCGACAGTCCTGTGGGCTCTGGTTTTAGCTATGTGGATAACGCAACCCTATACACCACCACCAATAAGGAGATAGCTCTTGATCTAGTGGAGATGATGAAGGGCTTCTACAAACTGCATCCTGAATTCGAGACAGTGCCGTTGCACATCTTTTCCCAGAGCTACGGAGGAAAGGCCGCTGCAGAATTTGCCTTGGAGCTTTACTATGCCAAGGAGCGAGGGGAGCTAAGAAGTAATATTACATCGGTGGAGCTTGGAAGTCCTTGGGTCTCCCCGATCGACTCAATCCTAGCCTGGGGACCACTGCTACGGGAGTTGGGCATTGTGGACCAAGATGGATTCGATGCCATCATGTATTCAGCAAAAACCACAGCTCAGCTGGTGAAGCAAGACAACTGGATCCAGGCCGCCATTCAGTGCCTACACACTCAGGAGGAGGTGCGAAAGGCCTCCGAAGGTGTTGACTTCTACAACACAATGAAGAAAACAAATTTGCCAGAGGATCCCGAAGAGGAGGATGCTGAAGGTGACAATTCGAGTTAATCTCTAAAATCACATTAATTTAAAATTTAATAATTAGTACCCTTAATGAAGGGTCCTGTTTCCAAGATCCTGGGAATCCCCGAGGCGGTGGTTTATGACTTACAGAGTGATGCAGTCTTTTATAACCAAAGGGCTGACTTCATGAAACCGGTCATTCACATAGGTAAGCCAGATGCTTATCTTAATATTCACTTATAGTATTAACTGACCCGTCTATAGTGAACGAATTGCTGGAGAAGACTCCGCTGAAGGTGAGCGTAGCCACTGGTAATCTGGACCTGATTTGCGCCACTCCTGGCAACGTTAATTGGATAGCCAAGCTGGAGTGGAGCGGAAAGAGGGAGTATCTGTGGGCGCCTCGAACCACCATCAACGTAGATGGTATCTTGGAGGGCTACCAGAAGACTGGCGGAAACTTCACCCTGTTCTGGATCAACCGCAGTGGCCACTCCATTCCGGCAGATAATCCTGCAGCCATGAGCCACGTCCTGCGGCAGATAACTTCTGTCGGCTAGATTTCGCAACATTATTTGTATCTCAACTATATATATATATATATATAAATGAAAAATCCCATAACGAACCAGTTCGATAGGCCTTGCTATCAATTTGTTAAATAATCAACAGGCACCAGCCACTGATAGTGGTTCTTACCTTTAAATAAAGCCACGAGCCGCACCATGGCCTGCAGTTGAAGATGTCGCTTTTGCTGCTAACATTCCTGGCGTGCCTTGCCGCCTTGGCCCACGGTAAGTGTCGTAAATCAAGTGCTATCTCCCAGAAGGGAAGGCAGGTTGTGTTGTAAATAAGAAGCTATATCTTAAAAAAGTTAATTGGAAATCCCAGGCAAGCCCGGTTACGGACCCGGGGAACAGGACTGGGGCTATGTGGACGTGCGCCCCGGCGCCCACATGTTCTACTGGCTTTACTACACCACCGCCAATGTTTCGGACTATACGGATAGGCCTCTGGCCATTTGGCTACAAGGAGGTCCTGGGGCTTCCTCCACCGGATACGGAAACTTCGAGGAGCTGGGACCCGTCGATCTGTATGGCGATTGGCGCAGCTGGACCTGGGTGAAGGATATGAATGTCCTGTTTATCGACAATCCCGTGGGCAGTGGTTATAGCTATGTGGATAACACCGCTTTTTACACGGCCACCAACAAGGAAATAGCCCTTGACTTGGTCGAGCTGATGAAGGGCTTTTATAAGCTGCATCCCGAGTTCGAGGCGGTTCCCCTGCACATTTTTTGCGAGAGTTACGGCGGTAAGATGGCCCCTGAGTTTGCTTTGGAGCTGTACTACGCCAAAGAGCGGGGTGAGGTAAAGAGCAATCTCACCTCGGTAGCTCTGGGTGATCCCTGGACATCGCCCATCGATTCTGTCCTGGCCTGGGGGCCTTTCCTCAAGGAACTGGGAATTGTGGATCACGAGGGTTACCGGGCCATTCAGGAGGCTGCAAACTTGACAGCCCAACTGGTCGAGCAGGAGCGATGGATCCAAGCCACCTATCAGTGGGGCAACACGCAGTGGGAGGTGATGAAGGCCTCCAAGGGCGTGGACTTCTACAATGTGCTGAAGGAGACGGCAGGCGGCCGCTATCAAAGACAACTGTCAATGAGCCCTGAAGGTGAGTCCAAGGAAATAACTTTAAATATGTTAATATAACTTTTAAATATTTGTTTTAGAACGTATTTTCCGAACCATGGTCAAATTCGATATCGACGAAGATCGCACTAAGCTGCTGGAGGATCTGATGCGAGGCCCTGTGGCCGAAACCCTGGGCATCCCCTCGAACGTGGTGTGGGGTTCACAGAGTGGAACCACTTTTGATATCCACAGAACCGACTTTATGAAGCCAGTTATTCACATTGGTGGGGGATCTCTTTTTTGAATTATTATGACAAAATTATTTATCAACACTTTTCGCAGTGAACGAACTACTGGAGAAGACTCCCCTGAAGGTGGGCGTGTTCTCAGGTGGCCTGGATCTAATCTGTGCCACTCCTGGCACCGTCAACTGGATCGCCCAGCTGGATTGGAGCCGCCGGGATGAGTACCTGGCTGCTCCGCGTAATGCCATCACAGTGGATCGCATTCTGGAGGGTTATCAGAAGACTGGAGGCAACTTCACCATGTACTGGATCAACCGCAGCGGTCACATGGCTCCGGCTGATAACCCAGCTGCCATGAGCCATGTCCTGCGCCAGTTTACCAATTTTGGGTAGATCAATTGTCGATTTTTTAAAATAAAAAGGAGTATAAAATTTAAATATGTATTTTATTGGTTTTTAAACAAAAAGAAATATTCTGGTAGATTATTTAATTGAGAGGTTTGGGTATGGTTTGAATATAAGACTCTTTTAGGGGAGACTTTCTTATAAATAATATAGGAATATATCAAATCAGAACTATAAAATAAGAACAGACTTCCTTAAATCACCTTGAATTGAAATAACTAAGATGTCACTGAATTTTTAATCCCAAAAGTGTGATATCAACTGAGATATGTATATATATTTTCATTATTTAAGCAAGATTGAAAGCGATTTCCTCGACGTTCTATGGTATCTAAGAGACATGTCACCTGGGATAAACTGCAGCCTTGGATCAATAAAAACAAAGGGAAAAGCTTCGGGAAAACCCCTCTTTCAAGATAGCAGAGTGCAATCTCTGCGACTTAATGGCTCTATCTAAAAATATATGACAGAGAGATTTGCCAAAAAAACGGACAAGTGTCAAAAGCTGCTTGACCAAAGCCGCCGCATCATCGCCCATCGAAGGGCCATAAATACTCTGCAAACACTTACACGAACACCCCCCTTCCCGTAGGGAGATTACGAATTCTAGGTGTGTCAGGTGGTGAGTGCTACCTTACATGCGATGTCTGCGACTGAACAGCGATCAGACGGCAGTGGAACTGCCAAGTGTTCGGTTGGGTCTTCTAGGTTTCCGAGCTTCTGGAATTGGTGCAACATGACTGGACGGGTTATCACTTTTAGTGTAGTGGCTCTGCTGGCGATCGTCGCCAGCTTGGGTTCTGTCAACGGTGAGTTTTTTGCCCATTTTATATTCCGATCAGGGGGTGTTAATCAGCGAGAAAGTGTTTCAAGCCAAAGCGGATTTTATGGCTTGTAGAGCAGGTCAGAAAACGGCAAAAGTGGTTTAAAAATCAGAACAGAGAGAAAAGTTACTTTAAGTTTTTTATATATTCATTTTTTTTTATTGTCATTATATTTATTTAACCTAGAAACAAGATCAGTGAGATCAGAATGAACTTAGATAATGAATCGTCGTTATATTCTTGATTGTGTTATCAGCATTTTTTTTAAATTTAATTTAATATCTTCAATATCAAAATCAATTAACCTTATCAAAAGCCACTAAGTGGCCTGATTGAGTTCATTTAATACACTTGATTACACTCAAGAGTTCCAGAGAAATCAAAGTTTATCTGCAAACTAGATTTATGAGTTAGCAATAAAAAATTAAGAACCTTTTAATAAGAAAAAGGATAGTATAATGAATTAAACAAGAAAGATTAAACTCACAAATTAATAAAATGTTGATACAATATCATATTTTCTTTATAGCTCGCAAGGGTTATGGCTCTGGTGAGCAGGATTGGGGTTTTGTGGATGTGAGAACTGGTGCCCATATGTTCTACTGGCTCTACTACACCACTGCCAATGTCACTAGCTACACGGAGCGTCCTCTGGCCATTTGGCTTCAAGGAGGACCAGGTGCCTCCTCCACGGGTTACGGCAACTTTGAGGAGCTGGGACCTCTTAAGCTGGATGGAAGCTATCGGGACTGGACCTGGGTGAAGGACATGAACGTCATGTTCATTGACAATCCCGTGGGCAGTGGCTTCAGCTACGTAGATGGATCTTCCTATTACACAACGAACAACAAGCAGATCGCTTTGGATCTGGTGGAGCTGATGAAGGGTTTCTATACGAACCATCCGGAATTCAAGACCGTGCCGCTGCACATTTTCTGCGAGAGCTACGGCGGAAAGATGGCTCCGGAGTTTGCCCTGGAGCTGTACTATGCCATCCAGCGTGGAGAGATCGAGAGCAACTTTGTTTCCGTGGCATTGGGAGATCCTTGGACCTCGCCCATTGACTCGGTGCTCTCCTGGGCTCCGTTCCTTCTGCAATTGGGAATTGTGGATCAGGATGGCCATGACAAGATCGAAGCTTCGGCTCTAAAGACCAAGGACTATGTCGATCGCGAGAAGTGGACGACGGCTACGCTGCAGTGGAGCTCCACGCAGTCGGTGGTGCTGCGCGAGTCGAAGGGTGTGGATTTCTATAATGTGGAGACTCCGACGCTGGGCGATACCTCCAAGCTGATGGCTAGGGCGGCCATGACTCCTGAACGTAGGATTGTTAATCAAACTAAGCCAACTGATCTTAATTGAGTTGTTTCCCACAGAGATCATGTACCGTACGCTGGTTAAGTTTGACGTGGACGAAGATAGAGACCAGCTGCTGGAGGATCTGATGCTGGGACCCGTCACTGAGGCTCTTGGAATCAATACCGGAGTGAAGTGGGGAGGCCAGAGCGGCACCACGTTCACCAAGCTGATGGGTGATTTCATGAAGCCCGCTGTGGATATCGGTGAGTAAAGGGAGTCTGTGATGTTAGATCTTACTTGCTAATTTCTAATCTTTTTTATAATATACTTTAGTGGGCGAGCTGCTGAACAACACCACCGTAAAGGTCGGCGTTTTCTCCGGTGGCCTTGACCTGATCTGCGCCACTCCTGGAGCCGTAAACTGGATCGCCGACATGGAATGGAACGACAAGGCTTCATATCTGGCCGCTTCCCGTGTGGGAATCACCGTGGATCGCGTCTTGGAGGGATACGAGAAGACCGCTGGAAACTTTAGCATGTTCTGGGTGAATCGCGCTGGACACATGGTGCCAGCCGATAATCCGGCGGCCATGTCCCACATCCTGCGTGAATTCACCAACTTTGGTTGATTGGGGCGCCATATTCTGTGGGAAAAGCAATAAAGATTATTTAAAAAGGAGGTTTTAATTTGAATTTAATTATTTATTTATTGTTTTCTGTAATCTAAAATTAAGTATGAATCACAAGTAATTATTACAAATCATAACTGATGCTAAAGGAACCCATCGATGCTTAACACTGTTCTTAAAGTACTTAAGAGTATTTAAAAGTCTGTTTCCTCGTATCCAACATTTGTATTTGTTTAATTAAGTTGTTTTTGCAGTTTGAGTACAAATTGATAACAGCCAGTTCATATCTGTGGAGAGCTTTTGTGTCAACTAATAGCGGTTTGTTTGTGCATCCGCTTCTTGGCCAGCTTAGTTGCGTATCTGTGAGATGTATTGCAAAGCTTTTCTCGCTTTTCTTTTAATTAAAAAACGCTTTAATTACCTGTGAAAATTCTGTGCGGCGATCGCTTTGCGGCGCTGCCACATCGCCAAAGTAACAGTAAAGTTGTCGCATGCGCAGTTTCGACCTTCTCTCACACACACCGACGCACACACGCAGCGGTAAATACAATTGCCACCCTCTCTCCGGGTAGCTGCCTCAGCTCTCTTTCTAGCTGCCGCTGCGCATGCTACTCGCGGGAGAGAGAGAGAGGGCGAGGGAGTCTCACACAGAGAGCGCGATGAGGAGATAAAGCGGCGGGCAGCTATTTTCGTTTTGCCTTCGTCTAGTCCGCATCGGTTTCGTACGACAGAACTGCCTACCGTTGGAAAATCACAATCAGCAGGGCAAATTACAATAACTGCAAGAACCTGCGACAGCTACAAACGGAATTAAATCGAAGCACACGGCAAAACGCAGCGAAAAGCCCGAGAAAAGCTAGCAATGACAAAATAATTTGAATTTGCTTGGCAGTCAACGCGCATAATCGTAGCCATCGCACCCATACACGTGCACTCGCTCAAACACACAGACGGGCGGCGCGGCGAGAGTGTGTGCGTGTGCCAGCGGGTGAGGTTTTTGCCGAGGGGGGTGGTGAGTGGGCGCAGCAGCAACAACACGAAAACAAACACAAATTGTGCCGTGTAAATTGCGGGCCGAGAAGCAGGAGAAACACAAACAATGCGGATACGCGAGAAACGCAAGTTGCAAAGGGAGCAGCGGGACAGGAAGGAGCAGAGGGAGCAAAAGGACTCCTCGAAGGCGGCGGCTAAGCGGGAGAAGGTAAGTGGCCACAGTAAAACGCCCCTTAAAGCGAATTTCCCCAGATTGAAACAGTAAAAAATAAAAATGGGGGCATTATCACTCTTGGCTGGCGTCGAAAAATTTAAAATATTAAATGGTTTTTGTATCTCACTTTTCCTGATATCACCTTAAAGATACCCAGATAAAACTATAGAATAGCTTATGACAGACTTTAGTTTTGTATTCTTTAAATTTAATTTATTTAAATCTTAAAATATTCGTTAATATTAAAACTCATTTATATGTGATATATTATTTAAAATGTAATTTTCTATTATATTTATCATTTCGAGCTTCTACCGTACATACTGTAACGTCCTAACCATCCTCTTTTCTCTTGTTCCCCAGTCTAGCGACGTGGAGGTTCTCACACCAGCTACTGCGCCTGCGCCTGCTTCTGCACCTGCTCCACCACCGGCATCGGCGGCGACAACAACACCACCCACTTCGGGGACCCCACCCGCGCCCAGTTTGCCGGCGGCCGAGAAGGTGGCCTTCGATAACCGCATCAAGCGTAAAAATGTGCTGGCCCTGAACGAGAAGGTGGCTGCTCTGCGGGAGTACGATCGGCTGCCGGTGTACAAGCATGTTGGGCGAATGTTCAACTGCAGTCCGGATCAGATCAAGAGGATCGTGCAGCAGCGCCAGGAGATACTCAACGCGTGGGAGCAGCGTACGCGACGCAGCCAGGATGCCAGGACAATGGAAACGAAAACCGTACGAGTGTCGATGCTGGGTAAGGCCGTCTACGACTGGATTCGCCGCATGATGTACTACAAGGACTTCAGCATCTCCGACGGCCTGATCCAGAAGATGGCCCTGCAGTTCAAGAGCTCGATGGGCCTGGCGCACTTCTTCCCACACCAGGAGTGGTGCGACAAGTTCCGGCGCACATACAGCATTAACCACAGCGACACTAAGCAGCTGAAGATCGGCTACACCCAGAGCTATTCGGTGCAAATCAAGGACATCGTCAAGGACGTTATGTCGGAGTGCATGCCCGAAGGCGGTCCGAACAATGAAGAGGAGGAAGACGAGGAGCCAAGCTTGGGAAGTCCGCTGAGCAGTAGTAATCATCGAAGCGAGGACGAGGATGACGACGTGGATGTGGACGGTGGCGATATCAGCGGCAGGGAAGATGACCTGGACGAAGGACAGGATATAAAGCCCTCCTTGACTGAGCTGAACCTCTCCCGGGCTATCCAGCCGCTGCCTCCGCTGGTCAGATTGCCTCTGCAGACCAACACTCCGCCGGGAACCTCCCAAAAAGTGCTCCTGGCCACGCCCATTGTGCCACCACAGGCGGCAGGCTCTGGTCAGCCCATGACCATGACTATTATACCACTGGCTACGCTGGCTCAGAGCATCACGCAGATTCCTTTGTCGCAGCAGAAGCAGCTGACGGAGAAGGAGAAGGGGCCGGCTGTGCCGCCACCCAAGTTGGAAATCAAACAGGAGAAGGACATCAAAACGGAGCCCTGCGACCCAGAGGAGTTTCATGCAGAACCCCAGCAGCAGCAACAGGAGAAGGAGCGGTCAAACCCCACAGCTGAGGCTCAAACCTCAAACGACAAAGATTTTGAAACCCTACCCGTGGTACACATCAAGCAAGAACCGGAGGCAGAGCCGGAAGCGGACATGGATCCCGAAGTCGATGATCCCGAGGAAGATGCAAACAATGGTCGCTCGAGTGTCACCTCGCTGGCCGAGGTTCTTGCCGCCAATGTCGAGGACGAGATGGAGTACATTGAGCAGATGCGACAGCGCAAGATGAGTTCACCTCCGACGATTGGAAAGCCGTCGAGCCATCGGCATGGAACTATGCGCCGGCACGAGTTAGCCCACGACGACAACAACAATGGGGAGTCTGGCGGAGGACGTGGCAGTGTCATTAGCTGCGCCGATGCCCGCAAGTACCTGAAACTCCTCGAGGAGTTTGCTCTCTACAAGGAGAATTACCGGTTGATCGGGCTAATCACACGGGCGGACGAGGTGATGCGGGAAATGGACGATGGGGCGGAATAGGATACCCCGAAAGAGGCACAGCTGAAGCCAAAGACAATGCATTGGCTATATAGAAACTGTCGCATCTTGAAGATGCAGTTCGGTCGGATGCAATCAATCATTAGATCTAAGGCCACCTTAATTTGTACTCAAACCAAAAATAAACGCAATCAAACCAATTACTAACGTCTGTAATCTTGTCCAGAAATCTAAGTGCCACTGGGTGGGTGTTATAAGGGGACAGCAGCGGTGGAAATAATATAACTGCCTGTTTATATATGTATGTAATATTTATAGAGAGATTGTGATAAAACCTTTGATCTCCCCAAAAGATTTTGATGGAAAATTTTGTTAGTCCAAGTGTTATAAGTAAAATATTCAAATATTTAACGAAAAGCTACATATATAATAAATCGAAATTTCTTAAAAATTAATAAATAATTTTACAAATTTGTTAATATAGAAAATACTAGCAAGGAAAAGCTTTCATTAGTCAATTGTATGCATTAAATGTTATTTTTCTATGATCAATTTTGGATTCGTTGCAATATGCAAACTTCTGCTGTCAAAAATAAGACTTCTTTGTTGACTAAAAAAAATTTTGTGTTTTTTATAATTTCAAAAAGTTAACTCCTATTCCCTTGACCTCTGTTGTGCCCTAGCCAGGGCTAAGACCCGTTGTTTCTGGCCAATTATTTGACCTGCATTGTGCCTTCATACAGCTATAGCCACTTATTCACGGCCAGCAAAGCCGTCTAAATATACGCGCCGATTTTTTTGTTCGGCGAGAGCGCATGTCTGCCCTTAGCTGCTTCTGTTTCTTCTCCCTCTGGCGGGCGGGTGGATGTGGGGGTGGCCGCCACCCTCTCTGGCTCTCTTTCTTTCTCTCACACACACTGCAACATATGGCAGTGAGCAAGAGAGAGCACCAATACAAAGGAAAAAATAGCTCAATCATTTCGATTCAATTTCCATTTCCGCGAGAAATTTTCCACTGCTGGGGAAGTATTTTTGGAAACGGTGCAAGACTTGTGGAAATATGTAAAAATTGTGTTATAAATACAAAGATGTGCTGGGCAGATTTCAATCGGCAATCTTGATTGCAGTAAATTTGGGAATTGCGCATGTCTGCCCTTAGCTTCAGCCTGAACGTTTTGTTGCTCTCAGCTTAGCTCTCTCTCTCTCTCTCTCACGCACACACTGGTAATGACAATGCAGGGGAGTTGGAGTTCTTTGTTTATAATTTGGATTGACAAGAGTTACAATTTAATATAATATAATTTAAATAATATGCCTAAGAAAAGCGTACATATTTCATATTATTTTACTCTGGCTGAACAAATACGAGTAAGATAATGCGCATTTTCGGACATGATTGATTGACTTGCATGCCTGTGTGTGTGAGAGCACGAGCAAAACAAAAGCCAAAACAGAAACAAATCACACCTACAGCCATGGACGCCCGCTCAATGCCGTCAGCGTCAGCCAACTAATCAATCAATCAGTCAATCGACACACACATACACACACGGCCAATGCTCGTTTCATCTCCATCAACGATTCATTTCGGGATTGGCGCTTGAACAGGGAGCACAACAACGCCGGCTGGCAGTGGAGGAGCGGACAGCAAAAACAACAACAAATTTCACGGTGTGTTCAAGCATTTCAGCGCTGCCCACTCGGTATTTTAACCAAGTGGGCAACGCTGCAGCAGCTGTAAACAAAAAACAGCCGCTTAGAGCGCCAAATATATTTTCAAACACAACAAAAATCTTTCCAATTAAATTAATTAATTTCCCCCACAGATGACATCTACTCTGCCCGATCGCTTTAGTGCAGGCAAGCGTCAGTTCTGGCGCGAGTTCCTGGCTCTCTACCAGGGCATGCCGCAGCTGTGGGATGCCCACCATGTCAACTATCGGAACAAGGATCTCCGTAATCGGGCCTACGAGCTGCTGGAGACGAAGCTCCGGGAGATTCAGCCAAATGCCACGCGCACCGAGGTGGGCAGACGAATCAACATCTTTCGGACCAATTACAGGCGCGAGCAGATGCGAATCCTTAAGCAAAAGGAACTCGGGCTGCATTCGGATTTGTGCAAGCCGACGTTGTGGTTCTACGACTATATGGGCTTCCTGCTGACCCAGGAGACGTTCCAGCACAGGACGAGGAAGGGCCGGACTGCCACAGCCAGTGGCAAGCAGAGAAATAGCTTTCGCTGTGCCAAGGAAGTAAGTTTTCCAAATGTTTTCCTCTCCGTTCCTCTCATATGTCTCCTTTTAGGCATCTGCAGATCCCCCGGACAGTGTGTGCGATTGGCAGATGAAGGATAGCACTGTTACCAACTATCTGCCGGAGCCAGCTACCCCGCAATCGGAGGAGGCCTCCCTGCTCAGCCCAAAGGTGGAGATAATCGAAGCGGATGAGGGCAACCCAACGCATGAAATGGAGCTCAAGGATGATCTCAAAGAGGAAGCGAATATGTCAGAAATTCCAGGAAGTTCAGAGCCCACCTGCTCTACGCATCACGCAGATGCCGGCAACGGATACGGAAGTGGTAGCACTCGAAATCACAGCCTCAGCGAATCCTCCGAAGTGCTGGCCAAGTCCTGGGCCATTCAGTACGAGGAGATGGAACCCACGCAGCGTATCCTGGCACGAAAGGCCATTGCGGATATACTCTTTGAGGGCTGCATGGGAAATCTACGAATAAATCGCGGCGATCCAAAAAACACGGTGGGAAATTATCTGTAAACTTATAATATTATTTAATATAAGAATATTTTCCTAACATGTAACATTGCCAAAAGAAAACCAGTTGATTTTCCATTTACATTTTGAGAATTGTTAATTTTTTAAAGAAAACTCAGGCCTTTATTAAATAACTATTATTATTTAAAGATAAACGAAAAATATTGAATGTGAAAACAACAATAAATGTATTAGATTTGGGAAGGTTATAAGGTTTATAAATAATACTATTTTGTAATTTCTTTATTTTAGATAAATTCAAATCTCGCGCCAAACTAGCCCGCTTTTCCAGGACTGCCCACTTGCCGCGCTTGCCACAAGTATGCAGCCCTGTGACGCATTGGCAACAGCTGCTTCTAAAACGCTTCATATTTTGTTTGGTTTTGTTTTTTAAGAGTTCCACCCTTTCTTCTAGAAATGACAGAGACTTTCCCTCATCCAGCCGTGGCCTAACAGGTGCACGGCTGAGGTGTCATCTCCCGGTAAGCAGTCACGGTTGGCCGCGGTGGAGGATTATTAATTAGCCGAACATTTCCTGTAAGACAAGACGCAGCCTGCTGGCCACTTGAATCCTTTTAAATGCTTTTGGGTTTCTTGATGTAAACAAGTCTTCTGGAGCGCTTGGAGTATTCTTATAAGCTATTACATGGTCCAGTTACAAGCACTGTCCAGAAAAGTTTGAAAGTGGCCACACCTAGTCACCTTGTAAGTAATTGTCAAAGAGCTTCCCCCTTAAAATTCAATTCCAATTCATAATTTCAGGCTGCAGTTCGTTTGTCATCAGTTCGTTTGCTCTCTAAAGAAGCTTCTCCAAACTTTTAATGATGCAAAAGTGCAGTGAACTTGGCAGCAATCCCGAGTAAGTCTCTCTCAATATCACTTTTCTCCTTGGATTCCCATAATTTCACCATTCTAGAGCCTGGCAGCAACTCTTTCGCTTTGGCAAAAACAGACTGAAAGTAAAAAAGGGGCCAAATGGCCATTATCTTGAGCCCGAGTGTCGGGACGAGCTGCAGAAGACCCTACCTGCCAAGGACTTTGATTCACTGATGTCCTCGGTGGCTACCTGGATGGCACGTCTCGATGAAAAGGATAAAAAGGTGCGACGCCTACGTAAAACAGTGAAAGTGCCTAAAAAATTACAATCAGAACCGCCTGTGGAGCAACAGACGTCTGAGGATGGCGATAACGTGGTTGACCTGTGCAGTGACGTCGAAGAAAAGGATGGGATTGGCGAGAGCGAAGATTCGCTTGACACCGAAACCGTTCTCTCGCATTCCTCTGTCATAGTCATCGACGACGATCTGGGCGAGGTTAACCTAAGGGACTTTGCGGATCATATCGAAGGCAAAACAGTGAAAAAGAATAACCAGAAGGAGCAAAACACCACACAGGACCTGATAAAAAAGTTTCTGGGTCCGCGAGAGTCGGATGCATTGCGACGGTCCCTGAAAACGTATGCAAACAAAAGAAAACCCAAGGTAAATGGAGAAACCACAAGTGAAGCCATGAACACAAACAAGGATCCAAAGATCCTGCGAGAAGTAAACCGGGAAGCAAGCCGAGAAGCTGGTCAAGTTACCAAAGCGGATTTAGCCCCCACTAGAATTACTCTGATAACTTCTGGTGATTCCCAGCAGAGAGTCCAGATAGTTACAGAACCCACTGCCTACTACGACCTCATAAAGAAAACTAATGAAAGTGAATTGGGATCCAAATCAGAACCTGAAGTACGTGGAAATGCCAAGGAAAATGAGCCCAAGAAAGGATACAACTCAAAGCAGGCAGCTGGAGGACAGACCAAAGAAGGAGCCCTTCCAGAAGACTCCTCGAGAAATCAAAGAGTGGGGCAGGATAATCGCGTTCCCCAGATACGCATACGCACTGACCTTGGTGCTGATCAAAGGGATGTTATTCGCGTTCGCACCGATCTGTTGCTTGAGCAGTCGCCACAAGAATCTCAATATTCTTTGAGTAACCAAACTCCATCCGCAGAAACCTTAGTGCCTGAAAGATCAGCTAAAAAGCGAACGTTGCCGGAGGCTCAGAGTTCACAGCATCCGCCTAAAAGACCCACCCTGCAATCCCAGTATCCTCAGTATGGACCAGATGCAGCCCCCTCCACCTCCTCCTCCTGTCAGCTCAGTATTTCTATTAGCCCCGGATATCCATCAAGTACCTCAAACTATCAGGGGAATCCTGCACCAGTCCCAGTCCCACTTCCCCCAGTGAATCCCACGCCAGCTAGAGCTCCTCTAGTTAATCCCGCTCCTGCACCACCAGTTGTCACCGTTAAATACAGACTTATTGCTCCTGCGTCAGTTACCAGCACCTCCGCCACCAGCAGCTATCCACGAAATGTCTCTAACAGCTGCCAGGCAAACCTCCCCTCCCTTCCTACTTCTGTGAGTTCTGCATCGGCCAGCTCTTCCGGATATCCGTCGTCTGGCAGCCATATGTGTCCCGTAACCAGTACTTCCAGCCATCAACCAAATAACCCTGCGAATCCGGCTCCGGTTGCCAATCCTATGACGTCGCCCGTTATACCAATGATAACCAACTATCCACCAAGCTATCAATACCAACCTTCAGTGCCGTTGCCTGCTGCACCAGTCGGTACATCAATGTATCCACCAGGTGCTCCAGCTGCTCCACTTCCGCCCTTAAGTTATCCCCAAGCTCAGCCACTTGTCGCACCAGCTCCAGCCACTGCGATGGCTTCTAATGGTACAATCAATCTGGACAACATTATGAACATGCTCAGCCAAGTGGAGCTCTTTGCCTTCAAGCAAGCGAATCAGGAGGCCTATGCTCTCGCTGGAAAGTTGCGGGACAGCCTCCTGAGGGGAGTGCCTTTCGGGCAACGTCGATAGATTTGCTTTGATTTTGTATTTAAAATATATTCTAGGTGTTAATTTTGAATACATATTCTAAAGATTGGTTATTTACCTTCAATAAAAAATGAATATTATTTAGTATTACAGAATTATTTTAAGTGTATGCCCAAAAGCAATAAAATAAATGTTTGAATTCAAAAAACACAAAAATAAATAAGAAATGTTTACAGTTTGAATTCGTTTGGAAAATATTAAAAACTATTATATACAAATATTTTAAACTGTTTTTATTTTTATTTTGTAAGGTTTTTTTGTCTTTAATATGAAATTTAAAGGATTTGGCTGAAATAACATATTTGCCGTTTAAGTTACCTTTTTAAACCTTTCAGCTTGTTTTTAATTCACTAAAATTCAATAAATGTTAAAGAATTATTAGACCTTATTACCATAACTCTCATATTTGGAATTTGTTTTTTTAATTTAAATTTTCAAAGGCTTGAAAATATTTCCTTTTAAAGTAAACCTTTGGTTTAACAGAATAAACCAAGCTATTTTGTTTGTGCCTAGACTGCACTGATCATCTGAAAATAGTTTTCTAAATGATTTATCCAGCTGTTGCCGTAGCTGCACCTGTGCCCTTTAAGTTCACAAGATGCGCTGGAACCTCTTTAGATTGCGCCTGCTGCCCTCCTGACAGACTGACATCCCACAGATGCGGTGGAGATATTAGGTCTGCAGCAAATATTGGATAAGTTCAAAAGTTTATGACTAAGGTCAAGTTAGGTTGCCTATTTGATACCTTAATAATAAATAATTAATAAAATAATAAATATATAAAATAATAAATGATATATAAATATATATATGATATATAATATATATTTTTTGTATATATAAAAAGGAATATAGCATCTAAAATGTTTTTAAATATAAAATATTGCCTAATCTAACCCTAAAATATTGCCACTAATATATAACAAAGCAAAAGATATAATTAATTTGTTGTTCCAATAATATTTTCCATAATAAACCATCAATCAAAGTACTAAATTCTTGACCCCTCCTGTATATGATTACCATTTAGCTAGACAACTGCAGGGAAAAATTCAAATCGCCGCAAGACGTTGGATTGGTGGGGCTGGTTCTCTGAGCTGTTGTAGCACTTTGCACCTGTCGTCCGCCCAACGCAAGTGAAAAATCAAGCGCAGCTTTAATTGATACAACACAGCCACTGTGGGAAGGAGTGGGGTTCCGATGCTCCATGGCTGCCCCATGCTGCAAGCAGGAGACTGGATACAAGAGGCTGGGTGCGATGGGATGCTGGGCGATGGGCAGTTGCAATCGCCAGTTGCAGTTGCAAACTAGTCGCGGCAAAAATGCTGTAAGAAATGCAAGGCAGCTGCCGCTGAAAAAGGATGATGAGGAGGAAGGGAGTGAGTCCCACAAGTCGTTGTCTCGGGGAGGAAAAAGCGCCCTTCGAGGGGCCGAGTCCTAAATGGGCATTGAAATTAAATGCAGCTGCTTTAATGATGATGCAGCTTGGGCAGGGGTTCCGATTCAGAGATGCCAGCTGGGCTGTCCTTCATCAGATTTATCTATAAATACAGTGAGCTAAGGCTAACAGCAAGAGTATAAATAAAGTTTGTAGATATATTAATGATATATTTGTAAATTCTTTTTTTTTAGAATTATATTTAGGTTACAAATAATGTTTAAAAATTGAATTGGTTTTGATTTTCAGTTTAAAATGCCCTTTTTAGAAGTATTTGTTCATGATTAATATAATAAAACCTTCCTCAAGGCGTTAAAAATCAGTCAAAGGTTTTATAAACACTCTTCCACGGGTATTAAAATATTTTGAATTATCGTAGTACCTTAAACTAGGGCTCCCTGCCATCACTGATCGAATAGGACCCGATAGAAGGCGAGGATCCGGCATGGACAAATCTGTGAATATGCCAGAAAAATGCTGCCCCCCAGTGGGCGTGTATGGTGGGGCGTGGCTGGGCAGCCACGACTGCGCCGGTGGCCAGCGATTCCCTCAACCTGGTGGGCGCCAGCAATCTGCAATCTGCAACAGGCACAGCAGCAACATCAACAGCAACAGCAACGGCAACAATCTGCAGCAAACACGGCGCCTTTTTACCTTTTTGGGAATTTAATGGGAGTTGCCGTTGCCTTTTTTGGTTCAACAAAATCAAGCAACAAAAATCTCTTTTTATCGTTTGCTGAGATGATGATGATATCGTTTGTTTGTTTGCTTGCTTGCCAGCAGCTGTACTGGCATAAAAATAAACGCGATTCGAGATGCCTAGCCTGGGCAAAAAGGCTCAGCATTTAGGCTTAAACTGCGCCCCAAATGATTGCAATTTGGCCAGAACCAAAGCCAAAGCCCAAGCTTAAGGCGGATACAGGTCCATATCCAGAGCCCAGCCCTAGTGGCACGATTCAATCATGGACAGCACACGATCTGCTTCGATCTGGCTCGGTTTTCCCCTCATCAATAAATGGAGAGGATCTTGGACAGAGGTCAATTTAAAGCTAATGCTAAAGCTTTGCGGCAATGTACGATAAATTCCCATTAATGCTACACTTAAGAAGACTTTTTTATGGTTCATAAATTAAACTATTATGGGATAACACATGTTGTGTAAATTCAAGACATGATATAATTGAGATGAGTTACTCTAAAAGTTTTCATCTCTTAATAAACTTTATACCGTGAAAACCTTGCTTTCTCCTTCGCTTAAAATCACACCTTTCCCACATGAAAATTCTTCACAAATTTCAGCTAAAACTACATTCTAATTGAAACAAAGTTCATTGTTTTTCTATATTCCCATGATAGAGCCTTTTTGTGAAGCCCAAATATGTGAGCAAACAGGGAAAACAATAACGAATTGCATTTCCCACACATTCACAGCGCGGCACGCGTCGAAAACCACCCCGAAATCAGAAACGCATCCGGCGGATTGCAGGTGTGCGGGCAAAAGATACTCTTACTATACTAGTACTACATATACATATAGTATAAGCCATATAGGGGTGCGATCCAATTCGATGCACGGGCTTATCACAGCCTTGGTTAGACAGGCTGTTGCTTCTCAGCAGCTCGTCGCGAGAACGGAGAATCCCGGGAGTCACACGAGAACCGAAACAGTTGTGGGACTGGGAATGGAACCCACATACCATGGTAAGAGGGTGGGCTTCGTGTGTCGTGTGAACTTTACTGAGGGATTACACTGGCTTACAAATGGGAGCGTTTTGCGGGTAGAATTAAAATTATATTTAGCAGATGACCAAAAAGGGTTTTTGAGGTAAAGAGATTGGAATGTTACTTAAAATATGTTTTTTGATAATATATAAATTAATAAAAATTAAACTAAAAGATTTTTAAGAATTTAAAATAAAAGAACTGATAGCATAATACTCTAGAGTTTGCCGAATTTTAAAGGTATAAACATCTTATTAAGCTTAAAAGAGAGCTTATAAATGAACTTTTCCCACTTACCCTTTTATATTCACCAACTTAAAAGCTTTTTCTTTGTTAGCCAGTGTTTTCTGCCGGCTAATGAGTCCATCCAGAAACTCAGAAAGATATTCAGTCAGGTTCCCGAATGCGGCGAAAAGATTCAAATAAAGTTTCTCATGAGGTGTGTCCAGTTTAATGTGGGAAACACCGACCCAGAATGCTGGCCGGGAATGGGAGTGGGAAAAATAACTCTCGATTTTTCGGCCTCTCCTCGGCGTGGCTTCTTTTGTTATCCAGCAATTACATGATCAAAAATTCTCCTCGCATTTTCAATTCCGAAATTGCTCGAGTGCCTTTCGCACGATGCCAGTGTGGGACTGAGAACCATATCAGATATATGTATATATTTGCTATCCTGGGTGCATCTTAATGAATTGCCGGTCATTTGGGGCTTTACCTATTAACCCGAACCTTAAGTCTGCGGCCATAAGTTCCATAAAAGTTGACAAGAGAGCAGCTGGAAGCTGGACAAAGGCCAGAATTTCGTTGTTTTTTTTTTGTCGACCCCAATGGAGCGTTAATGACGCCAAGCAGCCCGAAAAAAATATAAAAGGATACGGCGCCCTTTGATTCCTGGGATATTTTCCGCTCCGCATGGCTTTTGATTTGGACTTTTTTGTGGCCGAAACTTTTATGAGCCCAGTGAGTAAGCCGAAAGTTGGCTTTATGGCCCGGCGACACCTTTTAAGCGCGCCAATCGAATCAATGTTTTAACACGAGAATACCATTTCCAAAACGAGCTCATTAACGATTCCCGAAATAAAAAACTTTATATATATATATATATATATATGTTCAAGACAAGCCGAAATTCTACGAATATCGCCAACGGCAGCTGCAAATTGGGCAAAACTTTTGGGTCGCAGAATTCATATTCGTTTGATTTCATTTCGCAATCCTGCGAAAGTGAAACTGCCAGCAGGTGAACGGGGTAAGGTATCCCGAAATAACATATTTTTTCGGATTTCTTCTCCCTCTCCGGTGAACAAGTTTTGGCAATTTGAAAATCTCTGCGCTAATTACTCGCGACTGGAAACGGGGACAAGCAGCTGCTGCTGCTCTGGATTGGGATCGGGAATTGGGGTTTGGGAACGAAACTGGGGCCTTGTTGCCTAATTGAACTCATCAATTTGGACTTAATGAAGTGGCAGCCGGCAGTCCAGAAAATGTCGCCTCGCATTTTCAAGTCGATCGACGGTGCAATTCATGAGGCATTCACATCGCCTCGCATCTCCCCGATAACGGGGCATAAAGAAGCCACTCTGTCGATTCCCAGCCAGCGGGCCAGCGGAGCTTCCTGTACAGCAGCCACTGGCTACCGTGGCAGCCGTTTAATTAGCGGGTTAATTGCCCATGAGGCGGCGGCTGCCCGGCCATGTATGTCTCCATCCGCAGCCCCATTGCCTCATTCGCAGCTTCTCCGCATCTGCAGCTCCTCAGCTGCTGCGATTCGGCAACTTCATTAATAACAGAGATAGCCAGATTTTTACTTTGGCCAACTGCCGTTTGTCATAGATGCAAGTGTACTGAGAAAAAAAAATGTAGTTTAGAAATGGATGGGTAATGGGTATAGAGTTCTAAAATATAAAGTATGTTATTGTATATTATTAGAGCCAAATCTAAGCAAATAAAATTGTTTAGTCCTCTATTTATA